AAAACAATATTAAATCGTGGACTGAAGTAAATGAACAACTGCTAATACTGGAAATGAAAAAGAATGGGCACAACAACGTAATTGTCGGAGTGTATGCCCCAAATGAAGATGCAGATTCAGAAAGTAAAGACGATTTCTACAACAAGATGAATGAAATACTCTCTGAAATTAAAGAAAACTGTGAAATATTTATACTAGGAGATTTAAACGGCAGAGTAGGGAGAGAAGAAAATAACAGAGTCGTAGGAAGATATGGGGAACAAATAACCAATGACAACGGAATGCGTCTTAGAGATTTTTGTGAAACAATGTTTCTCAAAATTATGAATGGAATTGTTCATCATAGAGACATCTACAAATTTACAAGGATACAACCTACTATAACATATATAGGAATCTGCGCTCAATACTTGACTATGTAATCCAACTTCAAACTTCCCAGCTGAAAACAACTGACTTAAGGATATACCGTGAATCCGACCATTGTTTACTTATGGCCAACTTGATAGTAAACTATCGCAAAAACAATAACACTCACTTACAGAATATAGAAAAGGCACAAAAAGCCCAACTCTTGTTCCACATGGGTGGAATGAAATGAAACAATGAAAAAAGACGAATGGATAGACAGAAAACGATGGCGGTCAAAATGCGAGAGGCGGCAGAGGCTGTAGGAACCTCGCTTATATGTGAGGCTGACACATCCAAATAGTAGAAATCTTCATCATACAAGTTATATTTATACTGTATAATGAAAGGCTTACTTTTTTCAAAACGAAGCCACTTAAAATTTGTTTGTCATTATTCACGTTCAACTTTGTGTTCATAAGCATTGATTCTCGTAATTCCGATAGGGAGAGCCCATTCTCGTGTAAAATAAACTGATTTGTTTTCTAGCCCTCTCGGCAGTGGCATGAATTGAATCTGCTTGTGTTGTATTTACCGCATGGCTGCTGCCATATTTTTGTTGCGATTCTGGCCGCCGCAAGTATCGGAAGATGTGCTTATATGTTTGACAGTACTAGGAAGTTTTGAAAATGTACTTCAACAAACAGGATGAAATTTCAGACGATCCTTTTTTCCATTTGATCCGTCCAAATGTAACAGTGTCCGTCGCTATTACAATAATCAAATATTGTAAAGTTGTAGACAGAAAGTTGCGTCTGTAGTAGATTTCAGCATCACCAGTATAGGGCTCAGATAAAACTACCTGCAAGTCAAATGAAATAAATCGAAATTTACATCATTGTCATCTATTGACCGTTTTCTATCTTCAGCCTTCATCTTAAGAGAATCAGTTTCTCTCCTTTTTCCAAGGCGAACTTGTCTGAAGCATTTTTATAAATATTGCAGAGAGAACACTGAAATTTTTTGGTTTATAAAAACTCAATGGGGGTTCGTAGCTATTGAAAAGAGATCTGTATACATTTATAGTACACTTGGGTATATTATTCTGGCAAAATTTTTTATACTCTGTACAAAATGAAGACATTTAAATTGCACGATAAGTAAAGTTTCTTTGAGTCTTTTCTACAATAGTGATTTTCCACGCGAGGAAAGCAATCGATGTGTTCCGTAGCTTTAGCAATTCTATTTGCATCTGTAGTATTAGGAGTGTTACGGCCTTTTCTTTTATCTGTACCTACATACTGTTACGATTTTAAATGTTATGGCGTATAGAACTGTAAATATTTTATGACTAATTCTTTTGTATTGATTCTCGTAATTTCTAGGTCAAAAATCTACCTGACATCATTTGGGCCCCTTCGCTAAAACAACAATCGAACTTTCTGGGACGAGCCGATGAAAAACATACAGTTTTGAGACCAGTCGCTGCTCTGTCTATGTCGAGAACGGCATCGTATTTTCTACAACATTCTGTTTACCAGCGGGTTTCAAATAAATAACGGAAGATTTCATTGAGCAGGCAGTCAAAAAGACATCGTGATCTCGCGTTAAATTGTAACGAACGCAAATCATTATTTGTAATTATTAAGTGTAAAATAAATTAGTATAAAATAAAGACTTTTGATAAATTATCGTGAGTTTTAATAAATTAGAATAAAGACAATAAATTAAGACTAATAAAATCATTATAATACGCTCCTGAATCGCCACGTCCAGCCAGTGCCAGATCTATATCTTGAAAACTTATGCTCAAAGTCTTACAGAAAAACTTGAGACATACTCTTTGATTTTCGTTATTTTCGTCCGGTGAGTATTAATACTTTGAATACTTTTTACGTCCTTCAGAGTTTTCTTGACGTGGATGTGCTCGTAAAATTAAATTTTTTTTACAACTGCACAATTGAATGATTTTTCCCTACATGGATCTTTCAGCTGCCAATAATATTTGAATATCTTTTCTCTTTGCATTTGACGTATTTTTTGAGAGCATTTAAAACGGCATTTGAGGGCAGTCAACATCGTCAACTTTTTTTCAGACATTATTTTTCCAGAGCGGTTTATATACGTCTTACCTGACACACGTTTTTCCATTCCCACATTTCTGGTCCAAATGGAGGGGTCTGCAATTCTCTTTCGTTTTCTTGTTAAATCTGGATTAATTTCTTCAGTTGGAGAATGTTTAAGATCGGTAGATGAGCTGGATGAAATTGCATCATTATTCGAGTTTGTAGTCAAAACATTTCCAGTAAAATGAGCTTTATTTAAATTCATCAAAATCTATTAAAGCCTAAAAAGTACTTTGATTTATGTTACAACTAGTTTTATTCAATTTTGGCAATAAGGGGTAGCTTTCATCCCTAAATAATAATAAGCGTATATCGGCATAGGGTAGACTTTGAATTAATAGGTAAGTAGAGTATATTCCCAAAAATTCATCAAAATCGACGCATTAGGATAAAAATATGACGTAATATCCTATTTTTGCTCTGATTGATTGGACTATGAGTTTACTTTATCATAGTGAATTAGAAAAATGTCAATACCTAGGCATTGATGCTGGTGTAAGTGCATTCTTCTTCTTCTTAAGATGCCCTCTCCATTACTGAAGGTTGGCTACAAATACAGCAAATTGCTCCCTATCTTGAGCTGTTCTTAGTATCGAATGTGTGTCCATGCCTGTCCAGTCTCTTATATTTTGTCAGCCAGGAGCATTTTATACTTCCTGGACCTCTTCTTCCTTCCATTATCAGTCGTAGGTGGTTATATTTTTCTCTCTGTAAATATGTCCTAGATAACTTGTTTTTCTGGTTTTTACAATATTTAGGAGTTCTCTCTTCTTCTTCTTCTTCTTCAGCCTGTGTTCGTCCACTGCTGGACATAGGCCTCTTCCATTTGCTTTCATCGATTTCTACTTTTGGCAATTCTCATCCACTGCTTGCCCGCGACTTGTTTGATATCGTCTGTCCACCTCTTCTGCGGTCTGCCTACTCCTCGCCTGTTCTCTCTTGGTCTCCAGTTTGTTAATCTTTGTGTCCATTTTCGGGATTATCTCGGGCAACGTGTCCGACCCATTGCCACTTGAGCCTTGCAATACGTTCTGAGACATCAGTAATTTTTGTTCTTTCACGAATGACGTTATTTCGAATCCTGTCTCTCAAACTAATCCCTAGCATGGCCCTCTCCATTGCTCTTTGGGTTGTACTGAGCTGCTCTAAGGTTTTCTTTGCGAAGGCCATGGTCTCCAGTCTATATGTAGTTACAGGCAAGATACATTTGTCATAAACTCTACGTTTTAGACACATTGGTATATCTTTATTCTTCAAAATAAAGCTTAATTTGCCGAAAGCTTCCCTAGACAGTTGTATGCGTCTTTTTATTTCGGCTATTTGATTTTCTTTGCCGATTTTAATGGTATGTCCAAGATATATATAGTGGTCTACATTTTCAAGACTGACGTTGTCAATAACAAGATTAGTTTGTAAATTACTCATTATTTTTGTTTTCTGAAGATTCATTTTGAGACCTATTTTATTTGACTGCTGGTTTAATTCCTTCAATATTTGCTCCAGTTCCTTGATATCTGTACTAAATAATACTATCTCATCCGCAAACCTCAAATGACTCAAACGTACACCATCAATGTTTAGACCTTTTTCCTCCCAGTCAAGCTGTTTGAATACATTTTCCAAAGCTAAATACTAACACATTGGAAAATGTTCTCTCTCAGTTCCCATTTTTCTCAGCACGTTGGTCACGTGCTCTGTCCAAGAGATCTTCAGCATCCTTCGAAACATCCACATCGCAAAGGCTTCTATACGTCTCATACTTGTAATTCCGAGAGTCCATGTTTCCACTTCGTATAGCAATATGGAATAAATTAATGTGTTTTTCAAATTGGTATCGGATATCCAACGATAAGGTTATATAAATGCATGGGAAAGTTAAATAAAGACTAGTTCATTCGGACTAAATCTATATTGTATAAAAAATTCTTATCAATAACGTTTAATATATATCTATAAATAAACAATTTTTCTTTTATATAAAAATGAGGCGCTTTTTGAATTAACTGTTGCATCAATTGCAAGGATGATAAGAAAGGTAGTCTCTGAGAAAACTATTTAAAATGTAAACAAAAAGCAATGAAAGATTTTCCTTTTTGTCTAAAAAATTACCCTTTGTTAATACTACATTTTTCAGCCGATATTTGGGTCTCATCAGACAGTGGTAGATCGAAAACAGATTCAAGAGGTAGGATTCTTAAAAAAAATTAAGATTCATCACAAAATTTGTCGTAAAGTGGAAAATTTTTATCTGAGTTCGTCTTGATATGTTATTGTCTGACGACGCCAAAACATGGGCCAAAAATATCGTAATTTAAACGAAGAACATCCTTTTAGACAAAAATGCTTTCAGGTGTCTAAGGGGTTACCCTCTATAAAACGAATTGAAGATATTTGTTTCCTACAAGTATTTTCAAATGAATCTATTGTAGGTTAAGGCTTAGTTAGATTTTGTAGTACAAGATAAAACGTTTTGTTGACTTAACCAAACAATTCTTTACAGCGTTCTTCAGCTTCGTTAAAAATGATCTAGTTGTAACTTCTAGATGGCGAGGCTGTGGAGTGAATCGTTACGAAATGAGGCATTGGTGTAGAAGACACGACGTAAGGCACAGCTGTACTCGTCACCAATTTGATGTTATCGATGACTTGTCCGTGTTGGTCTGTTAACACGAACGACGAAGGCGTCGACAGAGGAACGACGATTCCTTGGTCTCCGTTGTTGTAGATCTGCGGCGAGATGGGATTTTGGCGGTAGTGGCTAATGTCTTTCGAATGGTAAGTGTGCGGAGTGCTGGCTACGATCGGAACGTAGCTACCTGGATTGTGGTAGTCTCTTGCGTTGGTGGTGAAAATTTGAACGTTTAGTGGAAGTGGAAGCTGAAAAAGGAATCAATAAATGATAAAGAATATATAAGTTGTAGAGTGAAAGAAACAAGAAGAGACCGTGATGATGTGATTTTTCGTTTATTACGAACTCCGGAAGGAAATTGGTTAAAAGGGAGGTTTTCTTGAATTCCATCAAATGCACCAAGAGAAAACAGCACATTACATATGTTATCATATACATATTTCAATTTTTTTGACAATTAATAGTATTTGAAACCCAGTTTCAAGCCTACAAAATTTTCGTCAAAAATCAGTCACGTCTCGTCACAGTCCTGGCGCCGAACCGAACAATCCGTCATACAAAATATTCTTTAATAGAAATATGGCGCCGGCATTCACATTCATCAGGCGACGAACAGTTTCCCAGCTGTCAGATAATTAATAGTTCTGTGACCAAACAGGACCGGTTCGGACGCCGAGACTGTGACGGGACTGATGTGTCTGAATCGACCTTTATATGTAGATTTTTAGATTCAAAATGAACATTTTGCCAAATTAAGGGTTAATCTTCTCTTTCTTTATTCCGAGATTTAAGAATCTAATATAATTAAACAGTCCGTTCAAATATAAATACCGATTACTCTCAAATTTACACAAAAATTACCAACCTGGGCATTAGCAGCAACTCCGTTGGAATATCCAGGACTGGGTGTCACTACAATGTTTCCGTAGTCTCCGTCGTACTGATTGTAGCTGACTGGGACTGGAACTACCGTTGGTACGATTGAACTAAATTTAGCCAATTCGCGATGATGATTGTTGGCTTGTACATCGTGGTAGTAGTGTTTTCTATTTGCTTTAACTGCCGCGTGTTCTCGGATCGGTATTCGCTGAATTTGATGGTATACGGGAGCTAAAACAGAGTTAAGTAAATGCCAGAATAACCGTTAATTGGTGGACTATCACCATCAAGGTTAGTCCATTATTATTACTCTCTTTGTGTACCATTTTTTTCCCTCGAAGATTTTAAAGAACTGAATGTTAGGTTCTTTAAATAATGTTTGGAAAATGTGTTAAGAATTTATTTTATTTTATATTAGGCGTAATGTTACAGACATAAAAAGGCGCCATACCTTTTTTAACACTTAGTTTATTACCTAATGACACACAGTTGTTACTGAAGACAGCAACTTGAAAAAAATTGAGTATACTCTAACACTGAAGAGGTTTTATACGCTGGAAATGGATATTAAAAAGGACGGGGGGATACCCCATGCGCAAAAATACTAGTTTTTTCATCAGTCATGATCATAACAACATTATTATTATTATATTATTTAAGTTTTGAACTTACATGTAGGGGAGAGTTACCTAAGACGGGACGGTTCCCAAGTAGGGACACTAGCAATTCTAGAAAATCTGTAACAAGTGGCAACACCTGCACTGGAAGAGTGAAAGCTCGCCATTCAGTCGTATTGTCACGTAAACGACACGAGGCTAGCATACCGGTAGCGTTCGTCAGAACAAGTTGTTAATGTTTACATATTTTTTTAAATTTATTTACGTACAACATTATAGTGAATATAGCGTTAATGGTAAGTATCTGTGAAACTTAACGTTATTAGTCAATAACAGAGTTTATAGTCATTGCATTTCACTGTAAAGTATTTGCCACTAAAGCTTTTGTTTAATATCGGTTAAGATTTTTACAAAATGAGTGCAAATCTCTTAAGATGGGACAAAGTTAAACTTCCTAAGTCGGGACGTTCCCATCTTAGGAACTAAAATATTGGCTACAGATATTGTTCTTATACCTGCCTACTTTTATCTAATTAAATCATTAATTACTTATAAATTCTTACATATAACGGTAATTCATTCTAAAAACATTTATAAGTAGGGGTTCAGTAATTAGATTATACCCAAGGAGGTCATAATATTCTAACCTTGATTATAGCTAAGTAAAGATAATGTGTCATTAAAAAATGTTTTGTTCAGTGAAGTCTATATCTCGTAAGTGGCACTGATATTATTTTTCTTTTACAGAAAATCCAAATATAGAAATCCAAATTTCTATTACAAAAGAAAAACTGATCGTGGAAACTGGTCTGTTCAAAATATGATTTTAGCTGTACAAAAAATTCGGAATAACGAACTATCGCTTCGAGAAGCTGCTGACAGGTATAATATTCCTAAAAGTACTCTTCAAAGACGAGTTACAAACAAAAATAAAATTGTGACCGAAAATGACAAATATCTTGGTCGGTTTAGGCAAATATTCTCAGTTGAACAGGAACACGAAATTTTAGATCATATTCTTGAAATGGAAAAGCGATTTTTTGGAATCACTTATAAAGAACTTCGTTGTCTGGCATTTGACTTTGCCCAAGCCAATAATATTGCTAACAATTCTAATAAAGATACTCGAATGGCCTCTAAAAAGTGGGTTTATGGGTTTTTGGAGTCGACATAGAAATATTTCTCTGAGAAAACCAGAAGCAACCTCATACGCTAGAGCTACAGGATTCAACAAGAATGCAGTCCAAAGTTTTTTGAATAACTTGGAAAGTATTTATAATAAACATCACCTCACTCCAGGATAGAAGTTCTTGCTCAGAGGGGTAAAAAGCAAAAGTAAAAAGGGCTAAAAAAAAGATAGCGACAAATGGATTCCGAGTAACCGGAATTTGGCTTTTTAACGAAGACGAATTCGCTCCTTCTAAAACGACGGAACAATCAGTGGACAATGAAACTACATCACAGGTCAATAAATTACCCGTAATGATGGCTCATACCGAAGGCGTAAATCAAGATGAAATGTATGATAATCAGATTCCTTCAACCTCAAAACAGTCTGTTTTAAGGTCACCTAAAGATGACGATTCCGAAGATAACAGACCGATACAGAGAAGCCAAATCATTCCTATCCAATTTCCGACATCCAAGGTAAAAGTGACGATATTAGTCCGCTACCAAAGGCACAGACAAAGAAAGATAAGACTTCTTCTAGACATTCTCTTAAATCCACGATACTCACAGAATCGCCGTATAAAAATGAATTAGAGGCGTTGTAATCAACAATCCCTACTAACAAGGTTAAATCTGTGAAACGAACTGTAGTTATGGACCACAGCGCTCGAAATGCAAATATTAGCAATATCACAGTCGTCACTTTAACTAAAGATGATTCAAACTGCATTGTATGTGGAAAGAAGTACGCAGAGAGTAGTGGAGACTGGTAAAACTGCAAAATATGTTCAAATTTGGCTCATGAGTCTTGTGGAGTAATGGATGATCTCTATTTTATTTGTGGAAGTTGTATAGAGTACTGTCCCTTTTTGAGAAACCCAACGGACCATCTTAGGATTCCGGTTTCTCATGATGGGACATTCACACTTTTTTTTTGATAACAAAAACGAAGCATATTTTTTACTTTTTTTTAGGTTTTATCTAAAATGTGTTAATAATTAGAATAAAGTTTCATTTTATTACCTCAACTTTTTTTTAATACCAATAGATTTTCAAGTATTTGTTATAAAAAAAAACTGTCCCAACTTGGGTGATCTCTCCCTATGGTAAATTTTTTTTTCAATATCCTCACTTTCCATATATTTCACATCTGCCTTATAACCGTTTTGATCCGCAGTGTAGGACACAATTTGAAGTCTGCCATCTGGTAATTTAACTCGGTATTCTCCGTTTGTGGTCCTGGAATCCTGGACTTGGGAATGGGAGAAGTCATCGCCAGAGGAATGATCTAGTACTTTGTATGAAAATGCGTAGTTGGGATGGTGTTTTTCCTAAAGAATCATTACAACCAATATATTTATATATTATTTGTTGAGATTTCAATAAGGAAGCTTTGGTTCTTATTGAAATTTCTAAAATGCTTTGCATTTTAAAAATACTCGCTAGACTTGACTTTTGAGACAGAATTAATATATACAATTTACACAGTTTAGGTACAGAAAATGGTTTTAATTTTTCTTTTAACGCTTCTTTTTTCTTGGATTGAAATTTTGATTAATCAAAAATTTATCACGAAAGATGAAACTAAGTTATGCGGTACTTGATACCGAATTGGTTTCGCTGTTGACATTTGCTATTCATGACATGAATAGCAGTCTGTCAAAATTTTAAGTTTTAAAAACAATTAGTTTGGTTTTTACAGCGGTCAAAAGCAAGTAAATTTTGTGTTTTCGGAGAAATGGAAAAAGTCGAGTATCGTTCGGTGATTAAGTTCCTCCACAAAAAGGGTAAAACGAATGTGCAAATCAAAGCCGACCTGGACGAAGTTTATGGTGAGGTTGCACCTTCGTTAGCTACAGTAAAATTTTGGAAAGCTGAATTTGTTCGTAGTTGTACGAGTGTTTTTGATGATGAGCGTCCCTGGAGGCCAAATAAAGTCACCACGCCGGAAATGATCAACAAAGTCCATGACATAATTATGGCAGATCGTCGAATTAAGCTCCGTGAGTTAATAGAGGTCCTAAACATTTCCTACGAAAGCGTACACAACATCATTCACCATCATTTGGTCATGAAAAAGCTATCCGCGCGATGGGTGCTGCGTTTGCTGACGCAATCGATCAAATGTAAAAACGTGTGACTACTTCGGAGACGCTTTTGGCGATGATACGGCGCGATCCGAAGGATTTTTTCGCCGATTTATCACGTTGATGAAACCTGGGTGCATTATTACACACCGGAAACCAAAGAACAGTCGAAACAGTGGCGCAAACGCGGCGAAGAGCCGCCGAAGAAGGCAAACAGTGCACATTCGGCCGGCAAAGTGATGGCGACATTTTTGTGGGATGCGAAGGGCATCATCCACATCGACTACTTGGAAAAAGGAAAAACAATCAATGGTGAGTACTACGCAGCATTATTGGATCGATTCGATGCCGAATTATGATTTACAATTCATGATGAATATGAAGTTAACGATAACGTAAATATAAATCAAGTGGAGAAATTCAAATATCTGGGAGCACATTTTGATAATTACTAATTGGGACAATCAAATGAAAATAAGAAAAGAGTAAATATAGCCAAGAGTATCAATAATAGTAGGGAGAAGTAATGAGAGAGTAAGAATTCTAATGAAAATGGAAGAAATAGAGATGAACCTAACAAAAAACGGTTCTTAAAGTTGTTTGAATATTTAATAAGAATGCCCGACGAGCGACGGCCTATAAAAATATTTTATAAGATCACTAGGAAGAAGAAATTCTAGTAGACCACGCAGATCATGTAGTAAAGACATCATCAAGAGCGATAAATGACCTAAATCCACGAGAAGAGGATGTCTTGGAAAGAGAGGGTTGGCGAAGAATGTTGGGAAGTGTGTCAAGACGCTCTTTCTTTCTCTTCAGTCCTGATCCCCCAGAAAGAGTGTCATAGTCACCGTGTTGTCGTGTATTGTATGTATCCAAAGATCCATTCTTCAAGACGCTGTTAATGGTTAAATGAATGTTGTATTGTAATTTAACCCATAATATAAGTACCCATAAGTATTTAGTACTAGTGCTTTGAATGGCTAAGCTAAATAGTTACACAGCCTAAAGCAAAAAAATATGAATAGAACTTACGATGTCTCTAACAAATGGAATATGATCTCTGGCCAACTTTTCAGGAGGAAGTTTAAGAACTTTAGCACCATGTCTCGCTAGAGCTTGCTGTAGTTGAGGATTAATCTTTTCCTCCTGTAAATAGAAAAGGGTTAAAATATTTTTAAACTGCAAGAATAACATTGTGTTTATATACTAACTTGTTGGGAATTTTTGAAGCAAAAATAATTTTAAAGAAACAAGTCTCCACTTACGATTAACACTTTGGCTACTGTGTGTACCATTTCTGGTACACAGTTGATCTTTACCAGAAACTGCGTGTACCAAATTTGGTCACATGAAATGGTAATGTTTCAAGCTGTGTGTACATTTGGTGAACACAGTTCTGATGGTTTTAAATGCGTATCAAGGTTCCTACAGTTTACTGCTAAATTCTGGCGAAGCAGTTTGGGACTTAATCAACAGATGACTGTACTATGACCGATTTTTTAAAATTATGGCGGAGTAGTTTGAGACTCCTTCAGCAGATGGCATATTATGGCCATTTTCTGACTTGCAGAAACTTGTTCTTTGTGCAATATTAGTCTTGTGTGTTTACGGTTCTAAAATTAGTACTTAAAATGTCAAATAAAAAATTAAGTGATGCTGAACTACGTGAAATAGCCGAGAATATGAGTGAAATGGAGTATGAGTTTGTTAGTGATGATGATGATGATGATGCTATGGATATAGATGATCCAAATGATCAAGATTTGTGTTCTTCTTCCTCTAATTTAGAAATTAACAGTGATGGGCAAGAGTTAGAATTCGAATCTGATCTAGAATCTCTCAACAACGATTCTGAACCTGATAATTTTTTAAATAATCCTAATCCTAATTTTTTTTGCACAAAGGGAAGGAGATCATCCAATTCATTTTTATTAATTATTTATTGACAACGATATCTTATCACTTATTGCCGAGGAAACCAACAGATATGCTGAACAGAAAATAGTATCAGGAATTACAAATGAAACATTAACAAAAACAGCATTATTAGGACAATGGAGAAACACAAATCAATCCAAAATTTTTGTTTTCTTAGGTCTTCTAATATGGATGGGTTTGGATCGTAAACCCACTTTGAAAGATTATTTTAGCACCCATATGCTGTACAAAAATGAAATTGGAAAATTTGTTCACATGTCCAGGATAAGGTTTAAGCTTCTTTTGTCCAATTTGCACTTCTCAAACAACGAAATTGCCTCAGATGATAGGCTCAAAAAATTCCTTCCCTTGCAAAATTTGTTAATCAAGAAGTTCCAATCAGCATATACTTCTGACAAGAATGTATGTATAGATGAGACGATAATTCCTTTTCAAGGACGACTGAGCTTTCGCCAATATATACCGGGAAAGCTGGGTGTGAAATTATTTAAACTAAGTGGAGTGAAAGGTTACACATACAATTTTAAAATTTATATAGGAAAAGAGCAAACACCTAATGAAAAGCTAATTGGTACAAAAGTGGTGCTACAGCTTATGGAACCACTTTTCCATTCAGGTCGCGTTTTGTGCACAGATAATTATTACACTAGCGTGAATTTAGCACACGAACTTCTTAACAAAGATACACATTTAATAGGCACACTGAGAAAACACAGGAAGCATAATCCAAAAGTAGTAAGTGAGGCTAAATTAAAAAGGGGTGAATTAGTCATGAGACAGAGTAACAGTAAAATCATAATTGGAAAATGGAAAGACAAAAGAGATGTCATGTTTCTCACTACGGAGTCTGTGCCTGAAATAGTGGACGTGCCAACAAAAAGGGGTGTCGTGAGAAAGCCTTCCACAATCGTGCTGTATAATAATGTGAAATCATTTATAGTCGTCTCTGATCAAAAAGCATCATATTCATCAGCAGTGCGTAGGGGTATTAAGTGGTATAGGAAAGTTTCAATTGAACTTTTGGTTAACACATCTATTATAAATGCACATACTGCATACGAGGCTATAACAAACAAAAAGATAAGTATCACTAAATTTAGAGAAGAAATCGCCTCAGAAATTTTTCGTAGTCAAAATATTCTGATGAAAAATTTGGATGATCGTCGTGTTAACCAAGAAAGAAATCACAAACTTTCCGAAGTGGAACAGAGAGGTCGTTGTACAAGATGTTATAAAAATAATAGTGCTAGAAATGGACGTAACTTTGCTATAAAACAAACAAAACGTGTTAAAACATCTTGTCTAGCATGCAGTGATAAGTTTTTGTGTACCAAACTGCTTTTTTGACACTCATTACTGTCAAGCAAAAAAATGAACATTGTGTCCAAAAATGGTACACATAGTTTCTAAGAAGATAATTACGCATTTATTTCTGCCACAAAACTGTGTGTACCATTTTTTGACACGGCCCTTACACATGATTTTTTTTTAAAAATACCTAAATGTTGATATTTACATGTTTTTAGTATTAAATATTGTGAATTTTACCAAAATATAGTTTCAGTTTCTGACAAAAAACTTCAAATGTATAGCCAATAGCCAAAGTGTTAAGCTCAGTAAGATGGTTAAAACCAAAATAAGTTTTATTTAAGAAGAAAAACAATGTTTTTTAATTGCTTCGATCTTGATATCGTATATATTAGTTCAACTATTCAACTACCTTTACCAACTAAAACAATTTTCGCATGGTACGTTTACATAAGTTTCCCAACTCATTATTAAAATCGCCGTCTAATTATTCGCCTCTTTGGGAAATGTTATGTCAAATAATGTTGTAGATTTAGTTATATAAATGTATTGGGTTAGTAGACTATTGTCCTCAAGTGATTTTTATACTACTAGAAGTGTCTCAACAACAAAGTTTTTTATAATAATTGCCACGGGAAAATATTAACTGTTTATAGTTTATAACAATAGAATTTTCTTAGAATCTTCACTATTATACAGAAAAAATATGTAATATCAAATTTAAAATTACAAACATATAGAATAACTTCACAAGTTGTACAGTATTTTGTTATATGATATTGATGAGATTTCTTGCTGATCCTGTATATATTATTGTAATATTTTTTATAAATACGTAATATGTAATCTTGCTCGTATCAAATTGCTTGTCTGTCAAAGCAATTTTCCCCATTGAAATTAACTGAAATGTCATTAATAGGTTCCAGTCCCCAAATATTTTTGTTACGTGTTTTTAAATAAGAAAAATGTATTTATAAGAAGAAACATTTATTTATACAAATCATGAATGTGTTGCTTGTGTGAGTCCATATCAAATAGGTAAAGAAATAATAATAAGACTTACTCACAATCAATTTAATTTAACAATTTGACGACCGGTTTCGCTTTCTACAATTTGCAAAGCATCTTCAGGTCTAGATACAAAGTTAAACTAATGCTGCAATAAAATAAACCCAATTAGGGTGGTGTCTAATAAAGATAAAATAAACAAATAACTTAGTTCATACAAATTATAGTAATTATGCCAATATTACATGTCTGTGGTTTTCAAAATGAATAAATTTGAATATATAAAAGGTATTAACAGACAAGGTAAGACCCACAATTGGTATAAAGTAGTAATATTATATTGTAATAAATTAATAAATGAGCAGATAAATAAAACAAAACAAACATTACTTACATGCCGGTACTCTATTAACTGATGGATGGTAGGTCATGGTTGCAAAAATCATGTATTGTTGATTGGAGAACTTTAATGTGCTATTGCAGTTGTTTTGACAATAAACGGGAAGTTCTTGAGGAGAACAGATTTGATCCAAAGAGAACAGATTGGATCAAATCTGTTCTCCTCAAGAACTTCCCGTTTATTGTCAAAACAACTGCAATAGCACATTAAAGTTCTCCAATCAACAATACATGATTTTTGCAACCATGACCTACCATCCATCAGTTAATAGAGTACCGGCATGTAAGTAATGTTTGTTTTGTTTTATTTATCTGCTCATTTATTAATTTATTACAATATAATATTACTACTTTATACCAATTGTGGGTCTTACCTTGTCTGTTAATACCTTTTATATATTCAAATTTATTCATTTTGAAAACCACAGACATGTAATATTGGCATAATTACTATAATTTGTATGAACTAAGTTATTTGTTTATTTTATCTTTATTAGACACCACCCTAATTGGGTTTATTTTATTGCAGCATTAGTTTAACTTTGTATCTAGACCTGAAGATGCTTTGCAAATTGTAGAAAGCGAAACCGGTCGTCAGATTGTTAAATTAAATTGATTGTGAGTAAGTCTTATTATTATTTCTTTACCTATTTATTTATACATACATATTCTGTAAAAACATAAGAAAAAATTAAGTGCTTACAAATGCGCTTAATTTTCATCAGTGGTCTTCGCTTTTTTCGTCACACTTTGCTCATTTTCATCTGCAGATCATTTAAAAAACCGGTCCAAGGAGATTTTTTTCTTCCTCCCTTTCAGAATATTGCGGAAATGCAAGTTTCGTTGAAAAACACCGATGCACGACCAGTTGTAACTTTTTCGGGGTGATTTTTATCCACGAACTCTGCAACTTTCTCCCACATTCTCGGGATCTCCTTTATATCTCTTGTAGGGACGTCTTGCAATTCTGGCTCCTCTTAAAAACTAATTTTTCGTTGAACCACTGTATGCTGCTACGAATGTAGTTCCTCTAACTCCTCGGTTGTCAGCTCCTGAGGCTGTTCCTCAACAAGTTCGTTCTCATCTTTTTCATCCACCTCCAAACCCATGGATTTTCCAAGAGAAACAATTTCATCTACCACTGACACTACGGGTTCCAGTCCTTCACAGGCCCTTTCATCTACAGTATCAGGCCATAGCTTCTTCCATGCAGAGGTTAAGGTCCTTGTATTAACACCTAGCCTGGCCTGCTCAATAATTCTTAGGCATATTACTATGTTAAAGTGGTCCTTCCAGAACTCTCGAAGGGTAAGATTTGTGTTCTTCGTCACCTCAAAGCAGCGTCAAAAAATTTGCTTGGTATACAACTTCTTAAAATTAGAAATCACTTGCTCATCTATGGGCTGCAAGATAGGAGTGGTGTTGGCTGGTAGGTAGAGAATCTTTATAAACTTGAACTACAGGTTTATCCACTCCACAAAGAATTTCCTGGTGAACCAAGCCTTTGGATTTGCCCTCCACATAACTCAGTTTTTTTTCTTTTAAAATCTTATGTGAGTTAAAGGCTCTGAAATTTTCTGAATGGTACACTAGAAGAGGTTTGATTTTACAGTCACCACTCGCATTGGCGCAAAGTAGTAGAGTTAATCTATCTTTTCTAGGTTTGTGACCTGTGTCTTCGTCTTACGTTACAAGTCCTATTCGGCATCTTTTTCTGTTCTCTTAGATTTTGTTGTTAAATATTCTCCAAATTGCTCTTTAAATTGTTTACAATCACCTGGCTGTTGTTTCTAATAAAATCCATATCCAGTTTGTTAGAGCATCACTGTTGTTTTGTCCGTTTAAGCTTTAATTTCAATTTAGCCAACAACAGACTGTGGTCATGATTTCTTACGATATTACGAGGAGTATCTGCTGCAAAATTCCAGGTATATAATTTCCGTTAAGGTTGGGTTAGGTTAGAAGGCATTCTGTCCCCTCTTCTATTTAATGTCTATGCCGAAAATATCATCAGAGCTTCTCTTGAAGATCGCCCTGAAGGTGCCAGAGTCAATGGAATCATCATTAGCAATGTAAGATATGTCGATGACACCGTAGCATTAGCAGAAACAGAAGACCAAGTAAAAATATTGATGAACATACTATCAGAAGAAAGTCACAGACTAGGTTTGGATATTAATCTTTCCAAAACCAAAATCGTGGTATTCCACAAGAATCCCCATGAACAAATTACACCCAACATACAAATCAATGGTATCACCCTTCAGAGCTCCCAAAGCTTCATATACCTGGGCAGAGAGCTAAACAGTCAGCTAGACCACTCAAAAGAAATTAGAAGACGTATTGAAATAGCAAGATCTGGCTTCATGAACATGCGTAAAATGCTCTGTAACCCCAAGCTATCAATCACAATAAGGTTAAGAACACTAAAGTGTTATGTGTGGTCTCTACTACTATATGGCTGTGAGACCTGGACATTAAAACAGTATGACGTCAACAAACTGAATTCATTCGAAATGTGGATGTACCGCCGAATGCTAAGACTAAGCTGGACTAGCAAAACTACAAATGAAGAGGTACTGGAAATAATGAACACATAACCTCATCTGGTTAATACAATCAAAATTAGAAAGACGTCATATCTAGGACACATAATGTGCCATAAGGAATTTGAGCAGCTCCAGGTAATATTAGAAGGCAAAATCGAGGGTAAAAGGGGTATAGGAAGAAAGAAGAAATCCTGGCTCCGAAACATCAGAGATTGGACTCACACAACAGGAAATGACTTAATCCATCAAGCCCAGAACAGAGAAAAATTTGCCATATTGATCGCCAACCTCAATAGAGAAGGCACTTAGGAGGAGAAGGACGTTAGGTTAGGTTAGTTTGAAACAGGTATTCATTATACATAGATTATTTTTTCCGCAACATTCTGCCAAACAGTCTCGCCTTTCATTTCTATCAGTCCAAAATCTTCAATAATGTTACTTTGTCTGCCTTTCCTATCTTAGCATTAAGGTCACCCATTAGAATGATGAGATCCCTAGTCTTGAGTTGGTCAGTAACAATTTTTATATCTGCGTAGAACTTTTCAAGTTTTTTTTTATAAACATAACCACATACTAAACATAATACTACATAAAAAGCCAAATAACAAAAAAGCAGCACAATAAAAATATAAATTTAAGAAAAAACTAACCGAGCAGTTCAAGGTTCGCACTGTGATAAGACAGGAAGAGTTCACTCTACTGTTTAACTTTAACTTTAACTTTAAAGAAATGTAAGCTGTGGTGTAAATCCAGAGTAGTCACAGTACTGAAACTGGGCAAAATGCAGAGCAAACTGGATGTAGATCAGAAAAATGTTGCTACAAATACTGAATCTTATACAGTTTACCAAAAATGACGTAATTACGCTATAAATTAGATCACCCAAATAATATCTGGACGTTTGAAACCTACTCTAGTTTACAAGATATTTCCCATGTTAAGAATTAAGAAATAGAAACTAACTTGAGAAATAGAAACTAACTTGAGAAATGGAAACAATATATCATCCCATGTTTGGTCACCAAAGGCTCCAAACAACATTAAAATCTTAAAATCTTGACTGAAGCCAAACAGATGGCTTCAGTTTGTAAATTACCTGCAAGTTGTCAGTCCTGACACGAAGAATAAGTAAAACCAATGAAATTGTGGCAGATAAGAAGAGAACAATTTAAAAAATATACTTAACTTTTCATTATTGACATATATAAATTAACATATCCATGCATACTTAACTTACCTCAACGTCAAATCTTCCTACTTTCTTCTTCTTGTATTTCTTGACAACCTTCAAATACGGAATATCCTGGACTGGTGGAGGGCGTTGAAGAGATTGGTCTTCATTAAAAACTACAGGACCTACTCTATCCGATCTCCTGTTGGGATTATTCTGGAAAGGATGTGGATTGAAATGGCGTGGTTTAAGATTCTGTGCTCTGATAGGTTCTTCAATTGCTAAGGATGACGAAATGAAGAAGCAGATCCATATGGTTGTTAAGAGCTACAAAAAAGTTGAAAAAATGTGAATAAGACAAAAATATAAGAATAACCTAAACCAGAAAAAAATTTAAAATAATTAAACGAGTAGAACCTAGCGAGAGATCAAAATTAAGACAATTTTGAAGACGAATTGCTAAATGAAGACATTACTGAACTTTTTGAAGTCAGATATGAAGTCACAATATTTATCTAGAGGTGAAATGACTGGCCCTTTCACGCAAGAAGTTTTATATTTTAAAAATTTTATTTTTAATTCTTTTGAAAATTTTGCTGCTCCTAAAAAATTGGTGATCATAGAAAAACAATGGAACGAAATGAAGACATCTGTTACCACAATTTCGCATGAATATCTAAAATCAAAAAAGAAAAAAGAAGCAAGAATGGATGACAGATAAAATATTGCAGATGATGGAAGAGCGAAGAAAATTAAAAGGTAGAAATGACAACGAATACAAAAAGTTGCAAGATAGACTATACTAAAAGGAGCAAAAGAAGCATGGCTAACGGAAAAATGTAAGGAAGTTGAAACACTACACGCAACATGACGATTTCCATATGCACAAAAAATTTAAGAGATACAGAATACCAGAAAACAAGTATTACAGCATAGTTGTAGACATTGAAGGCCAAATTTTGTCTACCATTGAAGATAAATTACGAAGATGGAGAGAATATATGCAAGAATTATTCGAAGATGCAGCACAATAACAAACACTGAAATAAACAATCCCTACGGCCCAGAAATAACAAACGAAGAGGTAACTATGGCCATTCAGGGGATTAAAGATAAGAAATAAAGGCTAAGAAAAGACAAAGAAATTATTAACTGTATAAAAAACAAAAAATTGGGTTACTTCGGCCACATCATGCGTAATGATAAATACCGACCTCTACAGTTGATTCTACAGGGCAAGATTAAGCGTAAGAGAGGCCCTGGACGTACACTTAAATCCTGGCTGGCCAATCTTAGGAAATTGACTGGTCTAACGTCAACTGATTTATTTCGAGCTGCTGTGAATAGAATAAGATGGGTCAATGTGGTCGCCAACATTTCTAGAAGAGATGGGAGTCAAGCAGAAGTAAGGGGAAAAATGTTTTGATTTTGATTTTTTTTGGGTAATTCTCTTAAGAAGAAGGATTAAGTTACAACCTAGTCAGGTTACACCTGGTTCCAGGGCTGTTTCTTGTGCCGTAGCTGTTCCCCAGAGGTCCAGATCTGACCTTCTGATTCCCGGACAATTTTTGAGAAATCAAAATATAGGGAATTATCTCTCTTTAAAATATAGTAAACACTGTATAAGTTTATTTATTAGCTTTAATTTTTTTATATAATATAAACATTATTGAAATGTTGTCTTACTGCCAGTAAAAAGTGTAAGGGTGCCCCATCATGCTGAAAATACATCCCTTGGATAGCAACGTTCTCGTTGGCAAGCAAATTCGGCAAAATATTTTGTAGAAAGTTCAAATAGACCTGCCCTGTTAAAGGACCATCAAAAAAGTGAGGACCTACTAATTGGTTATTTATGACACCAATCCACACGTTAACCGAAAACCTTAACTGAGAACGACGTTCTCGAATAGCATGGGGATTTTCTTCTGCCCACACATGTGAATTTCGTGAATTATTTATTGCGTCTCTGGTAAATTGGGCTTCATCTGTAAATAGTGTCCTGTATAGCGTTGGTCGATTATTGTTAATCCATCTACAAAATTTCAACCTATCGATCTCATCTCCAGCATGTAGTCGCTGAACCATTTGAATGTGATATGGGTATAAATTATTTTTTTGTAAGACTCTACTTTTGATTGAGTAACATTGAGTTCTCGACTTACTTGTCTAGTCCTTATTTTAGGGTTCATAGTAACGGCGTCCATAGTGTCATCTTCCTGCTTCATCTACATGTCGCTCTGTTGTTCCACTAGGAAAAGTGCCATTTTCTCGCAAATAATTAAAAACTGACCCAAATCATGGATGAATGGGACTTCGACGATTAGGAAATCTCCTGCGATATTCTCTACTAGCAGCCCTACCATTCCCATTACAGAATCCATAAACAAATATTATGTCTGCATATTATGTGGTCAAAAACTGATGTGGCATTTTGAACGAAAGTATTAAAAGCTCTACCAAAACTAACACAATGTACTTAACGTAGATATGACAGAAGAAATATGTATTCTTGTACACATAAATAACAATTGCATTCCTATTTCAGAAGCCAACGAGTAAACATCGGGCTTCCTACTAATAGTATTTTGAATAAAAACTTGTTTAGTTTAATGTGATTGTTTATCAAGCAAATATTGGTAAGTCGATATCAGTTAAATTAATACTTTCGACAAATAAAATTAGGCCAGTCGTTTTTGGCCATACTTAATATTTTGGCATCCAAAATATTAAAATCAAATATGGCATCATCTTCACAAACAGCTCAACCTAGCTTCGCTGCAGTAACCAAAATAACACAGAAAAAATCTACAACAGCAACATCATGTCCTAGTAGAACTCAAGCCATTGTTATGAACGCTATCCCAGACGTAGTACTATTTGATTACATAAAGGCAATCGGCGAAATTGTTACCCCTAAAGAAATAACCTTTGCTTCACGTATTTCTAATCAACGTATATGCATCTATCTTTCTTCCGTAACCGTAGTAGATAATCTTCTAAAAAATAATCCTACTATTTCGATTAGAAATCAAACAATATCTATTCGTAGACTTATCACTCCTGCAAAGAGGCTACTACTTTCTAACGTGTGTCCTTCGATTCCGAATGCACTCATAGAGCAAGCACTTAAAAATGAACTTGGATTACAACTTGCTTCCCCTATCTCGCATATCCGTTGTAGTTCTCCGGAAGACGAATATGCTCACATCTTCAGTTTTCGACGCTCAGTCTTTGTGATACCAAATAAAGAATACTTTGAGTTAAATACTTCAATTGTAATCTCATATGAAAATACAAATTATAGGATCTTTATTACTTCGGACAAACTTGAATGCTTTTTATGTAAGCAATCTGGACACACTGCAGACTCCTGCCCTAACCCTCAAGAAATATCTAGCAATCCCTCTCCAAATACAACTTCTAGCCAAAATCCAGTCGATCCTCATTCTAGTATATCTCCTCTTTCACCCTCCACAAAAAAAGAAATCTATTCAAATAACCCACCTACTGACATAACAACCCCAAATGAACAGTCTATAACACCATTATCTGTCCCTTCTAACTCTGGCATAAAAAGAACTCATTCCACTGACACAAGTCTTGAATCACCTTCTCTACTGGTTACCGCTAGCCCCCTAAACTTAAACTCTAATAACACACCAAACACAACAACCTTCGCAACTCCTAAATCAGCTCCTAAAAAGAAAACAAAAACTGATGACAAAGAAATTTGTAAAATTAGTCTATGTGCCCATTCAAGTATTGAAAAATTAATTTGTGCGAATCCAGAAAAATTTTCGTTATCAGCATTACAAATAATTGCCTTCCTAGAAAATTCCTTTGGAAGTAGTGATCCCCTCAAAGAAGCTCATAATTTCACCACGAACATTCATTCTCTCCTCGAAGATCTTACTCAAATATACCAAACTGTATCCGATAGATCACTTAAAAATCGCATTACAAGAATAACGAAAAAGCTAAAACGCACATTAAATTCTATAGACGCTGACGAACTTACCAGCCTTACGTCCAATAATTCATGTGACTCTAACTGCAATGATATCGATCCTTTCTAAAATTACTTAATTAGTACAAGGTAAATTCTTTCTACTAACCAAATAAATTTATCAAATTCACTATTTTACAATGGAACTGCGACGGATACTATCCGCGCCTTGAACACATTCAATATCTTATATCAATTTACCATCCAGATTTTCTTTGTCTCCAAGAGACTAATTTTAATACAACGAATATTCCTCATCTTAAATCCTTTGAAGGATACCACTTCATTAGAACGAACTGCTTAAGAGCCAGTGGAGGTGCATCTATATTTGCGTCCAGCGAAATCTTCTCAACAATGCTACCATTAATAACGAATCTTGAGGCAATTGCCATAACTACATATTGCCCTAATAAACTAACCATCTGCTCCATATATATTCCCCCAAACCATTCTCTAAAAGAAGAAGAGCTCCTAGACCTTATATTCCAACTTCCACAGCCGTTTATTCTCACAGGAGACTTCAATGCACATAACGTTATGTGGGGTTCTCAATCCACATTTGGACGGGGAAAAGTAGTTGAAAATATTATTAACTGCACAAACTCATGTCTTCTTAACACAGGATCTAACACTCATTTTAATATTTCATCTGGATCTTTCTCTGCTATAGATCTTAGTATTAGTGACCCTAAATCTGCACCTTTTTTAACCTGGCAAACAGCTGACGATCTCTTTGATAGCAATCATTATCCTATAATAATTTCCAACAATTCTAATGGGACTGCCTCTGCCAAAAGCTATTGGCGCCTAAAAAAAGCTAACTGGCCAGAGTATTCAAAAGCCGTTGACACTCTCTTGCTCGCGCATGATCATCTAATAATAAACGATGTAGACTATTTGTTAACGTCAATAACAGACACTATTCTTTCAGCTGCTAAGACTCATATTGGCAAAACATCATTCTCTCCAAATCATAAAGTAGTTCCTTGGTGGAACTCTTCTTGTGAAGAGGCGATTCGTCTATCCAAAAAAGCTTTAAATAAGTACCAAAAAAACAGAAGCCTTGAAAATCTAATAAATTACAAAAAATTCAAAGCCAAGGCCAAACACGTAGTCAAAAAAAGTAAAAAATCATCCTGGCAAGATTACGTATCATCTATCAACGAAAACTCCAATCCTAGCCAAATTTGGAAAAAAATACGACAAATTCAAGGTCACAAAACTAATAATAAAATTACTCGTTTAATTACAAATGGTATAGAGATCGCTTTATACGAACTTATTCCTAACGCCTTTGCCAAACATTTCGAAGACAAGTTCAGAAATAAAACCAATAATATTGCTTTGTCTCATCATGACTTATATTCACACAGAAATCATCTGATATCATCTGAACATAGTAGATCCCTTAATTCTCCTTTCACTATGCATGAGCTAATATCTGCCTTAGCTAATAGTAGAAACACTGCAGCTGGACCCGATGATATTCCTTATGCATTCCTAAAGCACTTGTCTAATTATAGTCTTAAAAAACTCCTTAATTTATACAATATAATCTGGAGTTCCCATAAATTTCCATCTCAATGGAGCAAATCTATAGTTATACCAATACTCAAGCCAAACCAGCCAACTATGTTTCCACAATCTTACAGGCCCATCTCTCTCACATGCACTATGTGTAAGCTAATGGAAAAAATGATTAACAAACGTCTTTTGTGGTATTTTGAAAAACATAAGATTATTCCAAAGGAACAATCTGGCTACCAAAGACAGCGCTCCACAAGAGATAATCTAGTAATACTCCAAACCCACATCTCCAACGCAATAAATTGCAAGCAAGATTTGATAGCAACTATCTTTGATATAGAAGGCGCATTTGACACCATCTCTAGAAATGCAATCCTTGACAAACTTTTTGAATGTAACCTTACTGGCAACATATACGCATTTATCAAAAACTTCCTAACATCTAGATCGTTCAGGGTTTCTGTCAATAACTTCCTTTCTTCTCCACACATCCAATATGATGGAGTTCCGCAAGGTTCAGTTTTAAGCACATCCTTATTCATTCTTTCGATTAGCAAGTTAAGTGAAAATATAGCTCCACCAATCAAATGCGTATTATATGCCGATGACCTAATAATGTACTGTCATGGTAAATCCAACGCAACTACTAGTAAAATTCTACAAGTAGGAGTAAATGACCTACAAAACAAAGTAGCTTCTCTAGGACTTACCCTCTCCCACTCTAAATCCAAAGTTATTAAATTTAGCAGAAGAATGAGTTCTTTTGATCCGGAAATCACTATCAACAACTTCAAGTTACCTTCTTCTTCAAGTGCCATCTTCGTTCCGAAGGTTGGCGATCATCAGGGCTATACGTATTTTCGAAACTGCTGACCGAAACAATTCGTTGTTGCTACAACTATACCATTCCCGTAGATTCTTTAGCCAGGAGTTTCGTCTTCTTCCTATGGACCTTTTTCCTGCTATTTTCCCTTGCATAATTATTCGAAGCAGTTCATATCTTTCGCCTCTTGTAATGTGGCCCAAGTATTGCAGTTTTCGTTTTTTGATTGTAAATATGACTTCCTTTTCTTTGTTCATTCTTCTCAAGACCTCGACATTTGTGACTCTCTCGGTCCATGATATTCTCAGGATTCTGCGATACATCCACAGTTCAAATGCCTCTAATTTTTTGGTATCAATCTTTTTTAACGTCCATGACTCCATTCCGTAAAACAGCACAGAAAGTACGTAACATCTCATCAGGCGAAGTTTCATTTCAAGGCTCAAATCTCTTCCGCAGAACACTCTCTTCATTTTAGTGAATATGGATCTGGCTTTTTCTATTCTTATTTTGATTTCCGCTGAGCTATCGTTGTCTTCATTTATAAAAGTGCCTAAATATTTGTATTTGCTAACTCGATCGATAATTTCATTGTGTAAATATAAATTTTGGACATTTTGTGTTGATTTCGATATTACCATAAATTTCGTTTTCTTTATGTTCAAAGATAGTCCATATTCTTCGCTGTAGTCTGCTATCTTATTCACCAATGTCTGTAGCTCTTCAAGTGTTTCTGCGATCAGAACGGTGTCGTCGGCAAATCTCAGATTGTTTAATCTAACACCATTTATTTTAATACCTACGGATTGCTCAGAGAGTGTTCTATTCATTACGTCTTCGGAATAGAGATTAAACAGGGTTGGTGACAGTATACACCCTTGTCTCACACCTCGCTTTATTTCAATTTCTTCAGTGGTATTATTCTCTACTCTCACTACTGCTTTCTGATTGTAGTACATATTTGCTATTAGTCGGATGTCTCGTTTATCTAAATTCTTTTCTGTCAGGAGTCTGATTAGGTGATCATGCCGCACTTTATCAAAGGCCTTGTTGTAATCTATGAAACACATGAATACATCTTGATTTATGTCAAGACATCTTTGAGACATAACGTTCAGTGCAAACAACGCCTCTCTTGTTCCGAGTCCATTTCGGAATCCAAACTGGGTATTATTGATGTCCAGTTCCAGTTTTGTGTGTACTCTAGAGTGTATAATTTTCAGGAATATTTTCAGTACATGGCTCATCAGACTGATTGTACGGTAATCACTACATTGTTTGGCATTTATCTTTTTTGGTATAATAACAAAGGTGGATAAAAGCCATTCTTGTGGTATTTTTCCTGATGTATAAATGCTATTGAAAAGTTCAACTAAAATGCGAATCGAGTCTTTTTCTATTAGTTTAAGGATTTCCGTTGGTATTTCATCTGGACCTGGGGCTTTACCATTTTTCATTCTTTTTAGTGCGTACATTACTTCCTCTTCCGTTATTTCTGGACCTTCGTCTCCTTGTATGTTACTTAGCTCAGATTGCTGTCTATCATCTGCAAAGAGTTCTTCAATATAGTTTTTCCATGTCTTCAACTGTTCTTCTAGTTCTGTTATTATGTTTCCGTTGACATTATACAGGGTATTTGGCTGCTTACGTTTTTGTGTACCTGCAAGTTCTTTCACTTTTTTATGTACATTAAAAATATCATGTTTTGCCTGCAATTGCTCTATTTCTTCACATTTTCTTTTATAAAAATCTTCTTTTGCTATTCTGATTTCTATTTTAATTTCTTTCTGTAGTTGTTTATACCTTTGTTCGTTTTTTCCTTTCATTATTCTCCGGTTGTCCATGAGAAGAAGGATCTTATCAGTCATCCAACTTTGCTTTATTTTTGGTTTTTCTTTAGTCAAAATTTTCTTCGCAGGGCCTGTTATTGCCATTTTTACGTTTTGCCATTTTTTATCTATGTTGTTCGTTGGCTGGGATGTTTCCTTTTCATGAAGTATTTTCAAATTATTATTAATACATTTTTGCAGTTTCTCCTTTACCTCCAGGTTACATAATTGACTGACGTCTATCTGATTTGTTCTTCTTTTCTGCTCCAATCTTTTTAGTTTAATATTCATTTGCGCTATTAGAGGGTTATGGTCTGAAAAGACATCTGCGCCTGGGTAAGCTTTAACGGATTTTAAGGAGTTTCTGTATCGTTCGTTTATCAGTAAAAAATCAATCTGGTTTCGAATTATTCTTTCGCCATTGTCCTGGGGTGATTTCCACGTATAGAGTCTTCTCTTTGGTAAGTTGAAGAATGTTTCAAGTTACCGGTTGTTGATAATTGCAAAATATTAGGGCTGATATTTGATTCAAGATTAACCTGGAAACAACACATACAGGAACTTAAAGGAGTTTGCCTAAAAAGGTTAAATATACTCAAAACACTCTCACATTATCATTGGGGCGCGGAAGAAACTACTTTACTGAAAGTCTACAGATCACTTATCCGCTCTAAGCTAGACTATGGATGTTTCGTCTATATGTCTGGTACTAAATCAATATTAAATTCACTGAACACAGTTCACAATACAGCTATTCGTTTATGTCTTGGAGCATTCCGTTCTAGTCCGGCAGAAAGTCTGTACTGTGAAGCTAATGAACCTCCTCTATGGCTTAGACGAGAAAACCTTCTTCTCTCCTATGCTGCTGCAATTTCTTCCAATCCGTCCAATCCCGTATATCATCTATTTACATCATCACATCATACCCAAAACAGCCCTCCATGTAACTTAATTATACATCCTATTCCTAGTCTTCTACAACCGTTACTAAAAGATATAAATTTGTGTGAAACCAGAACTCTACCATTCTCCAATAATCCCTATTGGACCAACATACTCCCATATCATGATATTTCACTCACCAAGTTTAACAAGGAAGATACCAGTATTAGTACATTAAGAATTCTCTTCCTAGAACTTATAAACAAAAATAAATATAACATGGTTCTTTACACTGACGCGTCGAAGACTGAAGGTGGGGTTGGATATTCTGTAACCACTGTACAACAGCCTATCGAACTCTCTAAAATCTCTCCTTGGTGTAGTATCCACACTGGTGAACTACTAGCTATCTTACAAGCTTTTAAATATGCCCAACGATATACAAATACACACATAGCCATATGCTCCGATTCGCTTTCATCTATACACTCCATTAATGCTATATCCACCAAACATCCTATCGTCCAAGATATTCATGACATATATCAGCTTCTTATAAAACAAAATATAACTATCACTCTGATATGGGTACCATCCCATGTTGGTATTAGTGGTAACGAAAAAGCTGATTGCCTTGCCAAAAAAGCCGCATCATCCACGAACACCATTATAAACATACAAATTTGTAATGATCTGAAAGCCAGACTAAAGAAGCTTAATTTATCTACGTGGCAGATTCACTGGAATAATGTTACCTCAGCGCTGCATGAAATCAAACCTACAGTGAACCGTCTTACCTATCCCAGTTTATCTCGAAAAAATATGGCAATCATACGGAGACTGCGTATTGGACATACCCGTCTAACTCATGGCTACCTGATGACATCATCTCCACAACCAAAATGTCAACACTGCAATACGACTCTCCGAATCAGGCATATACTTATCGAATGCCCTTTATATGCCAAAATACGCCAACAGCTCAATATCAGTACTAACTTCAAAGAGGTCCTAAACAACACAGACGAAATCAACAAGGTCATCAAATTCCTCGAGAATAGTCAACTGCTCAACAAAATATAAATGTTATATTACAAGTTTTTATTATTTTCTCTGTATGTTAGATGTTAACTACATTTTATTTTGTAATTTATATTATATTACCATGTAAATCGTAACTCGTGCTAATGACCATAGATGTCACATGCACGTTAATTTCAATAAAAAAAAAAAAAAATAACAATTGATAATGACAATAATGACAATGGGTATAAAATATCAAGAAACGTCAAACGGTCAACGCCAACCTTCATTTTAAAGTTTTTTAGATTTATTTTTATTTAGTACAGTTGATGCAATGTATTATTATTTGACAAAATTTTAATCATTTACAATCAACAAAAACTAACACATGCAAGAGGTTTGACTTTTTAATCAATTTAATTTATTATTTATCGAAAATAATGCCTTAATACGATCTATGAGTAAAAATTTAAAATTGAAAAAACAATTGATTCTATCGTAGAGATAATACAAAGTGACAGTAAAGATGTTAATTTTCTACGTATTAGATTATGTTGTAGGAACTCATTTTAATTAAAATGTTTGAAATTTATAACATTTGTTTAAATTAATTACCTTATAATTTGGTACTTCATTATGGTTGATCTATTTTTGGTAAGATTTGATCGTTCACTAAAAATTTATTAAAAGTGCGACAACATTGTCGCATATGTCGTTTTCATTGGCTATTTATGTAGTTTGAAAATCACTTATTGCATTTAAAAAAATATATATACAGGGTGTAATATTTAATACGAATCCCTAAATTAATTTTTCCAAAGCCAGTCCTGGAATTTTTAGTTTAGCTAAGTATTTGGTAGAAGTATGTAAAGTTCCTTATGATTCACCCTATATATATATATATATATATATAATATATATATATATATATATATAATTCAAAAGTTTTCTCTATCACTCCTTAAAAAAATATTTATTAATGAAAAAAAAAAACTTATTTACCATCTTATGTTCTATATCTAAAATATCCACTTTAATTCTTGTACCAACAACGATGCACACACAACTGTTCACAGTAAATAAACAATGGTCCAGGACCTAATATGTAACACCGCACAACAATAACATCAAACGCTTTGAAATTATTAGTATTGTCTGCATGAGTGCAATTATGGTTCCCACCACTTTCAGTTTCGTTACCGATGACAATGTTTGATGGCTTTGTTTTTTTTTTCTGGATTACGCCAACATGTCTAAAGACCGTCTAATATGTGAGAACCGTTTCGGTACAGAATTGATTCATTTGAGATGGTTATAGGAGAGATATGGGTATGTTTAAAGTTAACATATACGTGGTAAGTTTGTTACTTTTATAAACTTTAAAGATATACGCTACAGTTGAATGGACAACAGAAAATTTCTTTAAAAATAATAAATTATCAACATTATTAATGAAAACATTAAACAAGAATATGATTTCATGCCAAAACCAAGAAAGCAACTGGACTGGACAACATCCCAGCTGAACTCTTCAAAATGATACAAGAGGATCACATCAGTGCTCTAGTTAAATTATTTAATGACGTGTATATTAGTAACATCAGAACTGAGTAAATATGTGACCAATTTCGTAGCAGTATCGGATAGAATAATATCACTCCAAATAAATACTGAACCATTTAAAATTAACATTTATTTCAAATCTATGCCCTGACTGCAAATAGAAAATAAGACGATGAAGTCGGGAAGTTGTATGATCAGATCCAAGACATCTTCTTCTTCTTTAAGTTCCATCTTCTATCGAAGGTTGGAAATCATCATGGCTATGCGGACTCTGTTGACTGTCGCTCTAAAAAGTTCTGCACTACTGCATTCAAACCATTCCCTCAAGTTCTTAAGCCAGGATATTCTTCGTCTTCCCACATTTCGCTTTCCTCGGATTTTGCCCTGCATAATAAGTTCTAATAATGCGTATTTTTGCCCTCTCATCACATGTCCCAAGTACTCAAGTTTTCGTCTTTTAATAGTTAATATTATTTCCGCCTCATTTCCTATCCTTCTAGTTACTTCCATGTTTGACATTCTTTGAGTCCATGATATTCGTAGGATTCTTCTGTAACACCAAAATTCAAAGGCGGCCAACTTATTCAAATGAACTTGTTTTAGTGTCCAAGCTTCCAGACCATAAAGAAGAGTAGAGAACACGTAACATCGAAGCATTCTCAGGAGTAGTTCTAACCTTATATCCCGACAACAAAGAAACTTTTTAAGTTTAATAAATGATGTACGTGCTATTTCAATACGTGTCTTAATTTCTTTGGTTTGGTCTACATCTGATGTTATCTATGTTCCTAAGTATTTATAGTTATTAACACTCTCAATTGCAGTATCTTCAATAGTCAATTGGATATTTGCATGTGCAGATTTAGTCATGATCATGCATTTAGTTTTCTTTAAATTTATCTTCAGTCAAGACATCTTACAGAAACTTAATAAACACGAAATTTTATATATTATAGGCGACTTCAATGCAAAAATTGGCGAAGGTCGACGAGGTTAGACTGTAGGTCTGTAGGTCCTTATGGTCTAGAACAAGCTGAGGATCGAGGACAGAAATTGAATGAATTTTGTAAAAAAAACGTCATGATCATTGCAAACTTCTGGTATGAAACTACTCAAGCGACGACTATACACGTTGGAAAGCCCCATTTGATGATGGCAATAATCCTGAGCCCTCAAGAAATCAAATAGACTATATACTTGTAAATGAGCGTTTCCTAAATGCCGTCAAAAAAGTAACTACATTTCCTGGGACAGATATTGGATCTGATCATCAATAACTTGTAGCAGATATTAAACTAAGGTTAAAACGAATTCATTTCTCGCTCTCCAATGTTCCGCCTCATACGACTGTGAATCCTTGTCCTTTCACCTGCCAGCATATGTAAAGGAACACAGCCGGTGATAACCCACAAAGCGGCAGCTGACACAGTCCTGTAGGCACATGCTACCCGCAGCAGACTAGTTCTGTCCACGCGTACCATGAGCCTCTTATAAGTTGATATTTCTACCGCGTCACTCCAGACTGGGGCCGCGTAGAGGACGCAGACTGCACAATTCTCCTTTCGAGATTTGGGACCACCTATGTTAGGCATTATCCTCCCAGCGCAGCCATTCTCTAAATAGCTCTGCGGAGCACCCCCTCAAATGTACCCCAACTCCCACCTTGGTGGAGAGTAACTTCCAGATACTTGACGTACTTTTTGGGCAACACTCTCGCTCCTGCGCACTAAAATTCAACCTATCTCTCTTTCTGTAGCCTCTGAGTACTACAGCTTCCGTCTTATCCTCCGCGAGAGAAAGATCATGCTCACTCATCCAATCCTCAACTAGGACACACGCACGCGTAATCCGAAGCAAGAGTTCCTCCCTGTCCCGTGCTGCCACCAGCATAGCAAGGTCGTCCGCGAATGTGAAGGGAGTCACACCCTCCCCAATGCAAAGGCTACTGGAAACTGCAGAAATGAGAGTACTGAGAAGAATTACAGGAAATACGCTGAGAGATCGAAAGACAAGTGAAGATATTAAAAGAAAATAGAGAAACAAAATAGAAAAAAGAATGGAATAACCACATAAGCGGAATGGAGGAGACCAGTGTCGTCAAAATAGCAAGAGATAAATCACCAATCAGCAGAAGAAGTATCGGAGGATTGCGCAAAAGATGGAGTGACAACCTTACATAGAGGAAATGAATGCCAATGAACAAGCAGAATTGCTTATAAAGAGGAAGAAGAAGAAGAAGAGCTAATAATTTATTTACGCAGTAGTTGTAAATTTATTTGGAACACCACTTTACCCGTATCGCCCCCACAAGTATAGCTTGATGAGCAAAAACCTAATTAAGCCATTAAGTAATTGGTTAAATTAATGAATTTTACAAACTGTATCAACACACATACCTATTTAAAAAAATAAAAACGAAATTTGTTGCGGAATTTGTTTAACATAGATACATCTCAGAATATATGTTATTGTTTATCTCGTTCTGATTTATATATAAAAAAACTAAACAATACATTTCTTGCGCATGTTTAAATGAGACTAATAATAATAAATATCTTGCTCTATTTTTCTCTGTTACAAAACAGTATCCTACTTACATATTATATTCTAATAGTGATTTTGCCCGTCACCATGCGACGGGGGATTCAATCAATTGCCATTTACAGTCACTCCACTCAATTTTTTCGGATTTCTCGGACTTTTTCGGAAAAAAAATCTATGATTACAAACTAGACTTCTTCTTTTTCTTTGAGTATTGTGGGTAGCTTCCATGACAATTTGCCGATATCGTTCACGATCTTGCCCGGCATATAATATTTTATCTGCTGATAAGCCAGTCCATTGACGAAGGTTTCGGAGCCCTGAGTATTTCTTTCTACCAATTTCTCTTTTTTCGTCAATCTTTCCGTTGAGTATCAACTGCATTATCCTGTATCTGCTTAGTTTCATTATATACCCCAGATATTCGAGTTTTCTCTTTTTGATACTGATACAACACTGCACATTTTCTCATGAAAAAAAGACGAAAAACGAAAAAACATACCGAATCAAAAGAAAAATTCGGACTAACACCGAAACCAACTGCCTTTGACAGCGACCTCACTGAAAGTGACAATCTTTAAAAATTATTTGCCCAACTCGGTGTAAACAAAGCATAAACGAACATATTCTGTTTATTTGACGCACAAAATATCCTACAGCGGCTTCACGATCAAGGACATACCAAGGAAATACGTATCTGTGATACATAATATCCAGATTCGCCGTGCGGTCCGCAAAGGGTGTATTTTATCACCTTTGTTATTCAATTTATACAGTGAAGCGATCTCAGAATTAGCGCTTGTCGAGATCAGTGAGGGCCTTATAATAAACGGTGAGCCACTTAATAACATAAGATATGCTGACGACACTGTCCTTCTGGCAGCAACACTAGAAGAACTGCAACACCTTGCTGAACAACTAAATATATTTAAACTTTGATGGTATACAAAGCAAATATCGAATACAGTAATTAATTAAATCTTGCCCAAGTACTTTCGATCAATAGATCATCCTCAGGGCATCTGAAATAAGCCAAGAAACGTTTTTTTATAAAAAAGGAAAATTAATTCACTTCGATAAAAAACTCGAAGTTTATGGTTGAAAAAAGTTTTTATGTGATAAACGTTTATAGACTTACTTCGTCAGTTGTGGCCTATCCGACATGAGCAGAATGTCATACATGTAAATTTGGACATAACAATACAATACACAAAGACAAACAAACACTTAAAAATTTTTAAAAAAGAGAAGCTACATGTTATATAGAAGCCGGAGACAGAATGGCTCCCGGTCTGGCAGAAATATTGAGATGACATGTGACAAATGACAGCTTTTAAAGGGCAGTTACAGTAGATATGTGATCTGCCCTTTACAAGCTGTCATTTGTCACATGTCATGAGGCTGAGTCACATCAAATGAGGCTGATTAAAAAAGACAGTTTTTACCAACGATAAAGATAAATGTACAAATAGAAGATAATTTAAACATATAGGTTAGAAAAATGGTTAAAAAAGATCAAGTGTAGTACACAAAATAATATAAAGAAAACACAATAATCAAATTGATAGAAAAACTGCAACATTCTAATATAAAATTTAATGAAGACAATTAATCTCATTTAAATGGTTTCTCAATATTAATAACTGATTAATATACTAAAGTAATTAGCTATAAAGGGAACTAAACAACGATGTCAAGATAACCACTAATTTTTTTACCATGACATGAAAATTTCAGACCTGATTGTCACTTTTAAAGTCGAATAACTACAATAATAATGCTCAGTAAAAAAAAATAAAAGATATACTAGAACACAACTCAGTAGCGTGAACGTTTATATTGTCGAAAAGGATTATTTTAAGAAGTTCGATAGAGAACAACAACAAAATCCGGGAAAAAATACATTTCTTTTTACACTGCAGGTCATATGGATATTCTAGAGTCTCTACAAAATATACAATATTTGATCATTGTGATAATTAGTAGCTGTGTTAAGTCAAAACAAAGGATCACAAGGAATCAAAGAAAGATCCTAAGAAACCGTAAAAAAGTAGTTTCTATAAAACCTATTAGGTTTTTGCGACTGTCTGCACACCACTCAAAAGCTGCATCTTGCGTTCTTAGAACTTCAGCAAAAACCTAGCAGATATTGGACTGATTTGTAAGACATTGTCTTACAAAGAACAGCTTCTGGATATAGTTTGTTTAGAGTTGGAGATATCAGTGGATATAAATATAGGGTAATGATTGCTATCGTAAAGATCATCAGCGACTTTCCAATTTAGTAAAGGTGCGGATTTTGGATCACTTAAGCTAAGATCTATAGAAGAAAATGTGCCTGAGGAGAAATTCAAATGTGTACTAGAGCCTATATTTAGTAGATAGGAATCTGTACAATTAATTACGTTTTCAACAGTTTTACCTTTGTTTGACGTGTTATTGGATATCCTTCAAAATTCTTTAGTTTAGAAAGTTTAGTAATTTTTAAGTTAGGTTTTTGTAAGCATATGATTTCAGGTTGTTCTTCGATAGCTAATTGCTGGATTCTTTCTATGCGAGGAAAGAAACCATCGCAATTCCATTGAATTATTTTGAATGTAATGTTTAAATGAGATAAGTGTGGGACTACTGTAAGGATTATGGAGAGCATTGAGAAATAGGAGCGTTAGTTTCATCGTCAGTTAGGTAATCGAATGATGCACTCAAATTGTCAGAGTCTTCAGGATTAAGCTGTTTTTAATTTTTTTTGCAATCTTGTTATTCGGTTTTTAAAAGGATCTCTCTTTTGTTTGTGAATGTAAAAGAGATAAATGATTAAGCAATCTTTGGATATTGGAAGTGAAATTGAGAGCTTCTTTAAGTGAGTCCCGTATACCGCAGGTAGTTTCTAAGAAAGCTAAAAATTGGTTTTCAGTAAGACTTAGTTAAGATAAATTATTTTTATAGATGGCTTGGACTGCATTATAAGAAATGGGTGTCAATGTATGTTCTTCTGTTACTATTGTTTTACTTTTTTTCTTTTGCGGCTTGCTAAAAGAATTAGTGATAGATTTTACAGATAAGGGGGGAGGCATTTGATTGATAGTTGGTTCTAGAGTAGGAACGGGAGAAAGTTGAAAAGGGGTGCCAGCATTAATGTCACTGGATATAGCCCGTTTATGTCTCTGCACTGGAGGGATGCTACCTGTGTAACTAAGGGGATTGTGAGTGCATTCGGGTATATTGTAGTTTGATGGTATAGATAAGAAGTTAGTGGGAGGTAGAGTTTAAATAAATACAAATGCGTTATTTGAGATTAGAGATGCAAAGATGATATTTTTTGGGGTAAATGTCTCCTATAGCTTTATGTACTCAAATAGAACGACATTAGGAAGAGCATGTAAGATAATGCCTTGATTTTTATTAGGAAACGTAAGAGGTGGAGATTTAGATAAAGTGGCAGCAACATAAGACTTGACAGTTGACAAGAACACTGAGGCGACTATATAAAATATTCGAAAATATTTTGTATGCTGTATTAAGGAGGGTTATTCCCCTATAGTTTCTACATTCCAATTGATCACCCTTTTTGTGTAGCGGGCAAACGATCCCAATACACCACTCTTCTGGGATTTGTTCCTCATTCCAGGCTCTCAGTATGATTTTATATATATATATATGGTTAGTCAGAGTAGCACCTCCACATTTAATAAGTTCCGCGGGAATGCCATCACTTCCTGGAGATTTATTATTTTTCAGGTGTTTTATTGCATCCCGCACTTCTTGAATTGATGGAGACTCCAATGGTTTATTGTTGCTTGCTCCTGGGAGTGGTTGATTTGGATCTTTTATTTCAATAGTAAGTAGTTCTTTATAGTGTTCCACCCACCTTTTCAATACTTCTCTTCTCTTCTGAGATCTTTATATTTTTGTTCTTTTTCTCGGGTTATTCTTTGCTGCATCAGTTTATATGCATTGGTTTTTCTTAGGTAATGTCCTCGCACTCAGCATCGAATCTCTCATTGCGTGGTGGTGGTCTTTGCAGCCCTAGAATGTTATTTGCTAAGTCTTTAATATAATTTTTACACATTTTTCGGAACGGTTCATTCTAAGCAAAAAATGCTTTTGTTTAAACACATTTTTGTTTAAAATTATCTCAGCTTTATTTTTTATTTGAAACATTTTTTCCACAGCGTCCAGATTCTTGGTAAATCGATTTTTTTGCGTTTAACCCTCCTGGAAGGGGGGTTTTATGGGGAAGCTCAGGAGTAAAAGTAGTAAACTTTTTTGCATATTTTTTGGGGTCCCAAAATTAATATTCTCGGCAAAATTGAGCTTGTGTGTATGATTTTTAAAGGTTTAGTGGCATTTTGTCTCTGACGTTTCGATTACAACAGAATGTCTGCTCATTTCAAAATTAATTAAAATTACTTTTATTCTAAAGTTCTTTAGAACATATAGGATATTCTTTGCCGTCGTCGTTTGTAGTAAAATAGTATTGTTTTACAACTTTGAAAATTATAATGTTTTGTTTTACGTTTCTAAATCTGTGTATTCTACAAGCGACACATTGCAACTGAAGATATAATAAACCAAATCCTTTCTCTACTTCTTATCTTCGCCACTGAACAATCTACTTACAATAATCTAGTATTTCTTGTGATAAATCCATTAAACCGCATCTAAAATGAATTGCAAGTAACTGCAATAAAGAAGTGCGATAATAGCAAACTTGCATTCGTTATAATGTGCAAGACAATTGCAGCCGTTTTTATATGGAGCGTTCTAAAAGTTATGCTGATAGAAGTGACCGCAGATTGGTTAGGTGATTTTACGAATTTTGGTAACGAATTTAAGGAGTTTGACCAGGAATTCCGCGATTGGGACAATTTTTTTGGTAATGTTTTTCTAAAATTTTATATTAATGCATCTATAGTAATTACGTTTTAGGAAATTAACAGAATTTCTTCTTTTCCTTCATTCCAGATTGTTATTTTTGTCTTTACATCCAGTGTCTTACACTTTTTCTTCCTTTGGTTTTGTAATTTTGTATTTGCTCAATCGGTTTTCATCCATTCATTGCAAAACAAATTTATTATTTTGCTCCCCAAGGTACTTCTTATGGTACAAAACTCTTCTTAGATCACTTAATATGTCGAAGAATTATTTTCCTTAATATTGTTCTGAAGCTATTTTTTGCGGCATTTTGAAGTAATTACTATTTAAATGGAATAAGCCACAATTACAGGTTAAAGTAAGTTTATTGACGTTTCAATTTCCACTTCGGAAATCGTTCTCAAAATCGTTTGTATTTTACGCTTGGACCAATTATTTCTTCTTTTATTTTGCAATTTGTCAACCACATTCTCTAGTGCATTGTTTATTCCTTGTTTGATTTTTTTCCACTGTTCCTCCATTTGTTGTTCTGTGAACTGCATCTCTGTATTTATTTCTTATACATATCTTCTTCTTACTTCTTTCTCTTTCAATTTATCTACGTCCCATTTTCTCTGTGCTTTTCGCCTTCATATTTTCTTTATATATGGGTTCAATTTTATAACATTTATGTTTTTTTTTTCAGATGAATCTAATGATTTTCTTAATTTGCAAGATTTTAACATAAAAAAGTAAGTTAAAGATAATATAAAATTAGTAGAAAAATTAATATTAAGCTCACCTAGCTTCTGGATTTAACTGCAACGAACTTGATTATCCTGAGCTTTCGATTTCCTCTCTTCATCAGAGCTTCGGAAGTTTCAGTTTCTCGAGCTTCCAGATCAATTCAGTTGTACACTATTTACTGTTGAGTACACTGCTACTATGCACAGTGGCAAGTTTGCTTAAGGGTCCTGCTTTCTCTCTTTGAGTCTATTTTTGGTTCCACATCTTACAAGGTAGAATATTTACCGGTGGGTGATAACATAATAATGAAATGAAATTATCAATACAAGTAATTGAAGTTTACAATGTCGAAAAAAGCTTCAACACAAGAGACAATTAAAAATTAAGGATATAGAGAACAGTATCAGCATCAGCATTTTGGACATCTGAATGCAATTTCGAGCCCCATTTACACATCAATTGTTGGATATAGGCCTCCTCCAAACGTCTCCAGTTCTCTCTATCTTTAGCTGCTGCAATCCAGTTTGTTTCTATTCTCCTTAGGTCGTCGGTCCATCGGGTGGGTGGTCTGCCTCGACATCGCTTGTCGGCTCTTGGTCTCCACTCCAATAATCTCTTCGTCCATCTTCCGTCTTCCATTCTAGCAACATGTCCAGCCCACCTCCACTTTTGTTTATTGATTCGCAGTATAATATCGTCTACGCCAGTTCGTCGGCGTATCTCCTCATTTCTCACGCGATCTTTCAAGGTCAGGCCCAGCATTGATCTCTTCATTCGCCTTTGTGTTACCCTCAGTTTTTCGGCAGTAGCTTTCGTTAAAGTTAGGGTCTCTGCTCCATAGGTCAAGACTGGTAAGATGCATTGGTTAAATGCCTTCCTTTTCAGGTGAATTGGGATATTTGTTTTAAAAATGTCTCTCATCCTTCCATATGTCGCCCATCCCAACGTGATTCGTCTATTTAGCTCGCAGGTTTGGTTGTCTCTGGTTATTCTAATTTCATGACCCAAGTATGTGTATTTATCGATTAATTCGACCTTGTTGTTATTAATCTGTATCTCTTCGCTGGGAACCATATTGGTCATCATTTTGGTTTTCTCGAAATGTATCTCCAGCCCAGTTTCTTGTAGTATGTCATTCAGTTCTTGGAGCATGTCTTTGATCTCTCCCAGATTATCTAACAGAAGCACGATATCGTTCGCAAAACGTAGATGGTTTAATCTTTCTCCATCGATGGATATTTCTTTCTCTTGCCATGTTAGTTTTTTAAATGCATACTCAAGAACGGTAATGAACAGCTTCGGTGACATGGTATCACCTTGCCTGACTCTCCTTTTTATCTTTATTTTATTAGTTGCAGAATGTAGACTTATGGTTGTTGTGGCATTTTCATATATATTTTTGACTATATTACAATATCTGTGGTCGACCCTGCAATTTTGTAGTGCTCTTAAGATGGACGGTAGTTCCAATGAAGATAATTGGATAATAAACAAGAAAAACAAATAGAATAGTTACAATAAAGATTAAAAAGAAATAGTTGCAACAGAACAAGAAACAAAGAGACATTACAGGGAACATCAATATGAGAAGAAATATTGACATATAAGAAGAGGAACAGAAAAGTCTAAAATTGTTTGGACGTTAGTGTCGAAAGTTGGTGTTAGGGACGAAGTGTCAGTGACTATAGATAAAAAAGAAAATAATATAACGGAAGAGTGTTAGATAGAGTTGGTAGACGAAGTCACGTCAAAAGATTATGACAGGAAAAGGAATGACAGAGATATATGAAAACTATTGAAAGAGAAAAGTAGATTAATTTCATATTGCATTATTGGTATATCTTCTTCTTCTTACGGTGCCTATCCGTTCCGGATGTTGGCGATCAACATGGCTATCCTAACTTTGCTTGCTGCTATTCTGAATAGTCCGGTTGTCGATGTGTTAAACCACTTTCTCAGGTCATGAAGCCAAGATATTCTTCTTTCCAAATACCTTGCCTGAAGAATGAGTTGCAACAAGCCGTATCTCTGTTCATTCCTCATAACATGGCCAAGATATTCTAGTTTGCGCTCTTTGATGGTGTTATTAATCTCGCATTACTTGCATATTCTACGTAGGACCTCAACATTAGTCACACGATCCACCCATTGGTATATATTGGTATATATGTAGTCAAAAAAGAACCATACGAGAATTTATTTTAGCATAAAAAAAATTGAAGAGGAAAATGTGTTAAATATCCTTGTTCTATTTCTTAGACACATTTGTCTGTTAGTGACTATGCCGATATTCATCGAACTTTACAATTTTAGAATTACATAATTTTATAAAAACTTTCTGGAATGTTTTCACGCGCCTGTTACCTACTAGTATCTGCCTTTTTCGTCCAGCACATGCTCCAGAGCTTAATAATAGTTTTGATATCAATCTCATTTGAAAATGTCATCGTAATATGTAACATTTTTTGTTTAAATTTCATTTTAGATCACCAAGTAACAAAGATGAAGATGTGGCTTTTTTGACAAATTTAATAACGGATGTTCGGAATCAAGGACAGACTTATCAATTACCTACAAATGCAGAAGAATATAGGTCGTACGAGAATTTTGTTAAAGGTATTTATACAATAATTTTTGAGCCCTATAATTCTTTTTATATCAGATTTATTTCAGTTTTTCTATTTGTAAGATGTAACCTTAAGGTAAATGGATCGATTATCCAGCAAGAGATGAAGTTTAAATACTTAGGAATAGTGTTGCCCAAATGCAAGAACAAGACGATACTTAGACAGTCTTGGTCTTGGTCTTGCGCCAATACACCTGGTCTTGGACTTGGTCTTGGTATTGCACTACTGGTCTTGGTCTTGGTCGAGCAGCAAGAGTCTTGCAGTCTGCAGTTACCCATTAGTCTATTATACCCAGAGCAAGTACATTTTAAGCTTGAATTAACATATCCATAATAAAGACCAACCAAATTAATAAATGTCTAAACACCTGACACCGGGTAGGGTTTGAAGCCACGATCTTAGCAATCCGCGCATATGCTCTAACTCAGCTATCTACCATGCCCCACGGAAGTCAATCTGTTTCTTAATAAACGTTTGCATTTAATAAGCTTACATGTGCTAAAACATGGTTAAAACACAAAAAAAACAAATTAATGACATAAACTTGACTGTATTTTGAAGAACATTATCTGCCTCGAAAGGGATTGGTGATCCTCCACCATATATGAAATGGAAATATTAAAAAAGATTGGTATGTGGCAAAAAATCCACATACATGTATCAAGGGCAAGACCCACTTATTACAGCAACATAAATGTTGTTAACAATATTAGCTCTACTTTTATATACCTAACTTAAAAAAATAAATAATAGGTAAAAGAGCAATGATAATCAAAAAAAGTTATTTTAAATTAAGGAGATACCTACTTAATAAATACATTAATTTACCAAAATGAAGTAGTAGGTACATAATATATATGTTATTGGTAATAAGGTAATAAGTATATTTTTTTTACATGTCCACTTTTTCCAGCGGTTATTAAACAGCGTGTGGTATCTCCACCGAATTTTGGTTTTTTAAGAAGAAATATTTGTAAATCCTTTTTGTGAAAAGATATTAGATGTTTCCTTAAACCTGACGTGTTTCTGTTTTTAATTATCATTTCAAACTTCTTGTAGGCACAATTTACACAAAGCAATTTGGGATGCATGAATTATTTCGAAAAACTTATCAAATTTGCTTTTAGGTCTTTTAGATCTATAATTCCAACGCCCATTATTCCGACTAGAACTATTTGAATATTTGTCCTTCATGTCAAATTGTAAATTTGTCAATGTCATGTAAAAACTTCAATTGGGAATAAAGTTTAGTGATGTCAAAAAAGTAACTACTACAAGTTACTTTATGTCCGTTACTATCCAATACCCTAAGTATCTAATAAAAAACCGAGAAGTATATATCGTTACTTCGTTATTCTAAATATTTCGGTATTTTGTTTACACGATAGGCGACATTATCTGTTATTAATTTGTCCCGTTACTTTTTATTATCCATAAATAATATAGTATATTATTTAGTATTAGCCGCGCTCTTTCAGCAAATTTTGTTTAACCGAATGATCTTATCGCACACTCAGCAGAAACAATGTTTAGTCTTAGGCCGATAAGATTTGTTTATTTAGATTCCTCCTAACTAAATTATAATGGGAAAAAAATTGAATTACTAAGTGGGTGTCCTAACAATAAGTGTTGTATTTTTTATTAGCTAAGGTCATATACTGACATATTTAAAAAAAATTTAAATGCGTTATTACTGTCGGCGTCGCAATGCAAGAAGATTATTTTATGATTAGAGAGCGGCTATTCTTAAAATTTAAACAATTAATTTCAGAGCGAAGAAGTCGTCTGCTGGAAAAGAATATTTTATTTTTACATTGTAATTATGACTCTAAGTACGTCTCAACTGTGTTTTTAATGAATATTTTGATTCGGTATGCAGTTTTTCAAATTTTTATTACATATATTTTTCCATCTCATAGAGTCTTTAAGCATATACCCGAACTACTATACTCGCTAAAACGACACTCAGTCCTAACTGCAAGACGCAAGAGTCTCGCAGGCTTAGTCTTGTTCTTGCTTAAATCTTGCACGGTCAGTCTTGGTCTTGGTCTTGCTAAAATGAGGCGGTCTTGGTCTTGGTCTTGCGAAAACGCAAGAACAATACCAAGACTGCAAGACCAAGACCTATCAGATAAATAGAACTATCAGGCTATGGCCTTGAATGTTGAAGAAGAAGTCAGAGAACAAACAACGTGGGGAAGAAAAATAGCTAGAAGTCTAAACAATATAATATGGCATAATAAAAACATTGGTGTGAAGGCTAAATAAAGAATGCTGTGTGAAGCTGTGTGAAGGATAATAAACAAAGTTGGTATAAGGAGGTGGTCCAATGATGAGACCTATCTGTATCGAGAAGGGTCTGAACGTTTTAGAATATTGCAAGGCCGTAATTTACGCCATCTTAAACTTCTTGCTCTCAGAAATAGACGAGACAATGTACATCAATCAAGAGATGGTTTAGTTGCAGCTACAGGAAGGGTAGTCACAAGAAGAGCAGTTAATCAAAGATTAACTTGGAATGGGACTGAGAGCCTACCGTCCGCTTTTGGTGTTACCTTTAAAACTACAGCATAAGGCTCGACGCTTAGAACGGTGCAGAGCTCGGCAAAACTGAAGTGGTCATTGGAATTTTCTCTGCTTCAGTAATGAATCTAGGTTTTGTTTGGGTGGCTCTGATGGGCGCATAAGGGTAAGACGTTTTCCAACCAAGCATTATGGTATGAAATGCCATATGTTTGGGAAACATATTACTTCTAGTTCTTATTAACCGTACTCTGAGAGCTCTACGATATATTGATAAAGTACTGCAACCGGTTTCACAGCTCTACCTACAAACCATTCCAAATACAATCTTTCAACAGAATAAAATAAGACCTCATTGCACGGGAAACCATGGAGTTCGTATACAAGAATCTGGTATAGAGACTTTGGAGTGGCCATCAGGATCAGCTGATTTGTCAGCAATCGAACATATGTGGGATATGGTAGGTCGAAACCTAAATTAATTGCCACGTTCTCCAGCAAACTAAGAAGACCTCTTGAATGCCATACGAAGAATTTAGATGAGTATTCATCAATATGATGTAGACCACTTAATTCGATCAATGTCCCATAGAGTAACTGAGTGTATAGAAAATCAAGGAGGAGCCAGTCATTATCAATTGTTTGACAAAATGATGTTGCAAATTTGATTATAATTTTATCAAATAATAAGAGTATTATAATGTGTACTTCCATAAATAAATATTTGCCCTTCTAGGTATTGCATTTTTTTGCTCATCAGTATATTTATCAACGTTTTTGTCTTTTTAGATATCGGTTATTACGACTTTATCATAATTGGAGCTGGAGCAGCTGGCAGCCTTGTAGCCAATAGATTGTCTGAAGTTGAAGACTGGAAAATACTGCTTATAGAGGCTGGTGGATACGGAAACAATGTGACAGATATTCCTAATATGTATTTCGAAGTAGAATATACGGAATACAATTGGGGATTCGTTAGCGTTCCACAAAAAACCGCTTGTTTAGGTGAGAAAAGAGATTTATGGGTTTTTAACCGTACAAAACTTTTTAAATAATCTTCATTTACATTTTATATGTTATGGATTTTCCTGATATTTTAAATATAGCACTGTTTACATTTATGCAAGGGTCAAGTGAGCGCATATTTGATTCATAATACACTTGTACGTTTTTACGACAAAATAATTACTATTTACTTATATTTAATATTTATTTGACCTTATATTTGTACTATGATTAGTTTACCAACTATAAAAGAGATTTTTATAAGCTCTTTTATATTTACGCTAATAACGTTACAAATTTCACCAGATTCTTTTTTTTATGTAGATTTTTACTTTGTTATACTAGACTTGGTAATGTAGAAGACCACAGATTTGTTTTCGAAGATTACAGCGGTATTTGTAGAGAACTATTTAAAGTAGAAAACTTATAATCATCGGTGCCTTTGTGTCTGTTTATATAAAAATTGATTAACCTTTCAGGGATAACTTGACATGATGGTACACAAAATGTAACGTCGGACTAGATCTAGAAAAGGTCCAAAAAACAAATATTTTCGGAAAAACGGTCTGAGTCTGAGAACTTGTCGATTCTTTAAATATATAATTAAAATAGAAAAAAAAACATTTGCACACAAATTTATTATAACTTGCATTTAAACTCATGCTTTGAAAGACTTCTTGTCTTCCAGAGATCTCTCCGAGAACTCACGTTCCGCAATTCAATATAGCAGCGGAACTAAACATACTAGACAACTCTCACAACTGTACTGAATAAAGTATCGCCTCACTTGAAGCTAGCGAGCACGCCACGACCGAAATTATAATTAATCGTCAGAAATCGACAAATAATCGACTCATCGTCCCCACGTTAACTCTGAACTGTTAAAATTATAATAGTTTCAATACAACACAACAAAAAAAAAAATAAAAAAATAAGCAAGCATTAACTGAGCTATCAATAAATTTCAAATAAAGTATAACACAAAAATAAAAATCAGAACATTTTGTTATTGATTTAATTTAAGCTTCAAATCTACATATAACCTAAGTATCATATTTATGTCATATCTCTAGGGATGCGTGGTGAAAAAAAACTCTAGTTGTATAGATTATTACAAAGGATATGTTGACAAATACAGTTTAATCCATGGTTTTAGCAAGTAAGCAATTTGGTTAAACCCAGCTTGTGAGACATGTTCACTCCTAAGAAGTATGTTCGGGTGTAACAATTCATTGGAGCGAGGTGCATTAACTCGAGTAAAAACAGGAGTTACTCAACCGAGCTCCAATGCTCCAGACCATCCCTTTCCCACCCATAGCACTCTGATGTGCGATAGGGGCTCAATTATCAGCCAGATACTCTTCATGTGGAGGTCCTGGGTAATAGAACTATAACATGATTGCCTAACCGAATCAAAATCAGTACAGCGCATTGTCGCTATAATCCTGTTATCATAATGTGGCTTATCCGCGAACTAAAATTACTTACTTGGGCTTCAAGTCTCCGCCCTGAGCTGGGCTCAGTTCGGAGGCTTGGTGCTCAAGAGGTTGGGACGTGCCCGGGTGTTTTGTGGTTTTTTATGTGTGTTTTTTGAATTTTTTTGTAGGATACCTGAAACAAAAATCATAATTAGTGTATATTTATAATATATATTGATAATCAACTTAAAAGTAACTGGGCCCACGCTGTACCTTGCGATTGTCCACGAGTTTTTCGAGCTGCAAACTATCTTTTTAGGCTGCTGTTGTGTGCCGCTTGTATTTTCTTTTTTTAATGAAATGCATATGTGTTGCCATGCGAGAGATGCATATGTTAGTATAGGAAGAATTATACTATTTATTAATCTTATCTTCGTTTTCTTTCTCAGTTTGCTTTTTCTTTCTGCTAGCATCTTATTGTCGCTTTAGCCATGTTGGCTTTTTGTATCGTGGCGTCTACGTGTTTGCTAAACCTTAAGCCTTTGGCACTCGATGGGGTTGTTTTGCACAGTCACTTGTTAAGAGATAAGTCTCCCTCGAAAGCTTGTGTACGTCTAGGAAGGCAGCTCCTGTATATTGTTTGTCATTAAATCCAGGTGCTATGTACTCTACTTAACTGTTAATCTACTTTACCTCTGCTTTTTTCACGGTAGTGTACACTATTTCATTTTCTTGGTCTAATGAAGGGATTGGCTTTCTATTATTTTTAAGTATTCTTTGGAGCCTTCACATATTTTGCATATTTGGGCCTTGTTCCTCCATGACTCTTCTGTGGTTTTCTTAGTTTTCACTACAGTGTTGTTTTAGTGCTGTTTTGACCTCTTTGTTCAGTCTATTTGCTTTGTTTTTGTCTGTCTGGTTCCTTGTCCTTCTTGCTGTCTGCTTTGCTCTGTTCTTTTCCCTTATCAAGTATTTTATTCCTTGCGGTATGTCTTAAATCTACCCGTGTGTTTTTCTACTTCCTCTTCTGTGTTGCTGTTTCTGAATACTCGTTGGATGATGTTTTTTAACTCTAGGGCTCTATCCTCTTTGTCTCGTGGGTTTTTTATCACTGGATCTATATTTATTAAAGTGCTTACTAGTCTTTTGAAGTTTGTCCACTTTGTTTTCTTTTTCACTCTTGTGATTGTGCTTTCTTCTTCCCACGTTCCTAGTTCTAGTAAGATAGGGTTGTGGTCCATTGTGCCTTCATTTAGTATTTGTAGTCCTAGATCTCTAGCAACTATGTGTTTATTAAGTCCGTTTCCTGAATGGTGTGTCAGGTATATGTGGCCCATTGCCATAACGTCGTCGTTGTTTTCTAAATATGAATTTAGAATTCTTCCGTTTTGTTCGTAGCTCTGTCGTTCCAATTAGGGGATCTGGTGTTTAAGTCTCCTATTATAATTAAGGGTTCGTCGTTTAGGAACGGGGTTAGGTTTTCTTAGATCAGTGGATCTTGAGGTCTTACGTAGGCTGAGGTAATTCTGAGTTCTCCTTGTCTCATTTGTATTCTGATAAGTGTTGCTGTTGTGTCAGAATTCTGATATGACATATGTCCATTTTCACTAGTATTGCAGTGCCTCCTGATCTTCCTGGGTTATCATTTCTGTATGTCGTAGCCTGTAAACTTAGTGTTGATTTTATTAATGAGCTTTGTTTCCTGTCTTGCCACGACATACATTTCATATCTATTAACCAGTTCGTCTAGTATATTCTGGTTTGCCCTTATGTCTACTAGATTTCAGGAGCCTATCCTCAAGTATCCCCTATTTGTTAGCCCTAGTTCAGTGCAAGCTTTATGTTGGTAATTGCCTCGTGGACAATACTAGTGACCAGTTCCTTGACCGAATTCACTAGGCCGTCTTGTTGCTGTTTTGAGATTAGTATGGTATTCAAAGTGCTCTGTGTTTTGGCTGCTTTTGTTATGAAGACCCGCTTGGTGTTGTTTGCAGCCTTTTTTGGGGGCTTGCGGTCTTTCTTATAGCTGGCATCCCCAGGTTGGACATCTGGGGCACCTTCTGACATTTGCCGGGTGTTGTTCCTGGCAATTAGCGAATTTTGCCTTTTTGCTTCCTGGGCATCTGGTAATTTCTACTTGAGTGGCTTTCGCCGCATCTGACGTATCTGCGCGTGGTGGTAACATTGTCAGTTGAAACACTGCGTGGGCCGAGTTGCTTTCCTAAGGTCCTTCATGTGTATTAAATTTTTGATGCACTTTGCTTTCACGATGTCCTCTCTCTCCAATGTGAACACAAACATTGGAAGGTTTTTCTTGTCGCTCTTCCTGGAGATCATGTTTTGAATCGATATACATTCTATAGCTCTTCTTTAAGAGTCTCGAACATTTCCATAGTGTTTGTATTAGGATGTAATCCTTTTGATATCATTCTCGGTTTGATATCTTCCTCTAGTGGGAAGGTCTGTATGATTTTCACCATTGTTACGTAAACTTTAGGGCTTTTCGCCTGAATAAGCGTTTCACGTCCACTACGTGATAGTTTGTTCGATGTTATAACCTTCTCTTTTTGGGCAATATTTAATATTGCATCAGTCTAGCTAACGCTCTGTAATTTAATTACATGCGGTTTCGGTACTCCACTTCCTTTTCTGTCTTTGCTGGTTCTTTGCCTGTTTTCAATAATTGTGATTGACCTGGAGTCGGAGGTCGCGGTGTAGCTTACGCATCACCTTATTATTCGCTTTCTTTTGTTGTGAACATGGAGCTCGCTAGCGGAGGGAAATCTTCTTTTATTGCCTTTTTTTAGTTAATCATCTTGTATCGTCTTATTTTTTTCTTCTCGGTTGTTTGTTTTGCTTTTAGGATTGCTCCTGTGGACTTAATGCTCTCTGGCTGTGTTGCCTTTTTGACCTGGTTTTCCCAGGTGTCTTCTTTCCTGCGCGTGTTTCAATTTATATCCATGCGCTCAATTATAGTGTCCTGTAGTTCCTCTATTTTTAGTTTAAGGGTCGTAATTTCAGCGCCCTCTCCTTGAATAGTGTCTTGAATGATTCCAGCTTAGACTTGTCGTCTTCACTGCTTCTTAGCTTAAAAAAACTATTTTATCTAAATAACTTTTTAATCTAAAACCCCCTTGATCTACAGGCATGGTTGACAACACATGTGCAATGGCACGAGGACGCGGAATTGGAGGAACTACCTTAGTGAACGGCTTGGTCTACTCCAGAGGATCCAGTCTAGACTTCGATCGATGGGCAGATCACGTCGAAGATCCTAGATGGTCCTACAAAAATGTTTTACCGGTGTTTAAAAGAACGGAAAGGTTTAACCACAGAGATAGACGAGCACCAGTGAACAAACCGATCCATGGGTATCAAGGATTGCTCAATGTCGAATACCATTTACCCAGAAGTCCACAATTAGAAGCTTGGTTGGAAGCCCACGAAGAATTAGGTTTACCGATAGGTGATTACAATGCTGGTACAGGACTAGGAGCTTCCCCTGCTCAAATTAATACTCGAAATGGACGAACTGAAGATGCTGGAACTGCTTTTGTATTACCTGCTCTTAAGAGAAATAATTTACGTGTTTTAACTTATAGTTATGTTACTAGAATACTTATAGACGAGTACAAAGTAGCTAGAGGTGTTACTTTTACTCATAAAGGCCAAAATTTCATCGCTAAAGCGTCCAAAGAAGTGATAGTTAGCGCCGGAACTTTCCAAACTCCACAGCTTCTTATGTTGTCAGGGATTGGACCTAAAGACCATTTAAATGCCTTGAATATACCAGTAATTCAAGACTTAGCTGTGGGTAGTACTCTTCGAGATCATGCTTGTTTTTATGGCTTGACCTTTAGTACCAATTACACAGAACCTATTTTGCCACTGGAGAATTATGTTGGACAATTTTTGAAAGGAGTAGGACCGTTAGCTGCTCCGGGGAATAATCAAGGAGTGGCTTTTTATGAATCACAGTATACCAGAGGTAAATTTTTCTTAAAATTTTCTTAGTAACATTAATGTGACAGTTTTAGTACTTTTTCTTTTATTTTTTCGATTTCTCTTTCTCCATTTTGATATTTTTATCTTGTTACAACAATATTTTTATTGTTGTTGCAATATCTATAATCTCCTATTTTGTTTATCTCATCATCTATCTTTATCCAAGTTTAGTAATTTTCATAAACTGTTAATTTCCAATAAAAAATTTACCATAAATCATTTTTCGACACTTAGGGAATCCGCGCAGAGTTGTCTTTATGGGAACAGGTCTGAAATAGTTTACAGCATATCTAGAACAGTGTAGAAAATAAACTTTTTATGCAACACAACATTCTATAAGCTGTTCTGTGCTGTTTTAGACCTATTCTTCTTCTTAAGGTTCCATCTTCTAACGAAGGTTGGATATCAACATGGCAATTCTTATTTTACTTACAGCAGCTCTAAATAGTTGGCTAGAGCTCAGACTAAACCATTCCCTTAGATTTCGTAGCCAGGAGGTTCGTCTTCTTCCTACATCTCTTTTACCTTTTATTTTGCCCTCTATAATCAAACGTAGTAGCCCATAACGAGGACCTCTTAATATATGACCGAAATATTCAAGTTTCCGCCTCTTAATTGTCTGTACAATTTCTTCCCTCTTATTAACCCTATCAAGGACTTCAATATTGGTAATTTTGTCTACCCATGCTATTCGTAGCATCCTTCGATAACACCAACGCTCAAAAGCTTCCAATTTCTTAATCTCCAGTTGTTTCAATGTCCATGCCTCAGATCCGTAGAGCAAAGTTGTAAAAATGTAGCAGCGCAATAACCTTATCCTTAGATCCATTCTTAGGTCTCTACTACACAATAGATGTTTCATTTTTACAAATTTTGCCCTTGCTATTTCTATACGGCTTTTAATCTCTTGCGTTTGTTCTGCGTTTTGACTAACCAATGTTCCTAGATATTTGTATTTATCTACCCTTTCTATCTGGATATTATTAATATGGAGTGTCTCGTTGTCTTTTGGATGTTTTGTAATGACCATGAATTTTGTTTTCTTTAAGTTCATTTTAATACCATATATGGTACACTTTTCATTCAGCCGTTCCAGTATGTTTGTTAGACTTTGCAGAGTTGAAGTGAATATGACAGTATCATCGGCATATCTTATATTATTAATAATTTCACCATTTATTATCATTCCATCGTTACACTCTCCTAAAGCTTCTTGGAAAATGGCTTCGCTATATATATTAAACAGCAGTGGTGACAATACACAGCCCTGTCTCACACCCCGAAGAATTTCTATTTCTTCCGACATTTGATTTTCAATTCTTATTTTGACTTTCTGGTTCCAGTAGAGGTTCGAGATTACTCTGATGTCGCGGCTATCGATGTTTTTCATTTTTAAAATATTAATTAGTTTATTGTGCTGTACCTTGTCAAATGCTTTTTCAAAATCAATAAAACATGTATACATGTCTTGGTTCATATCCAGATTTCTTTGCATGAGCACATTTATACCGAACAATGCTTCCCTGGTTCCCGTGCCGTTTCTAAAGCCTAACTGACTATCACTAATTTCATCATCCAGCTTTCTGTAAATTCTGTTGTGGACTATTCGTAGAAATACTTTCAAAACATGGCTCATTAATGCAATTGTACGGTGTTCTGAGCATTCTTTTGCATTTTGCTTTTTGGGAATAATTACGAATGTGGATACTAACCACTCCTTTGGTAAAATACCTGTTTGATAAATATGATCATAAAGTTCTACTAGAATGTCTATCATTTCATCATCGATCAGTTTAAGAAACTCAATCGGGATTTCATCCGGACCTGTGGCCTTTTTCCCTTTTGTCTGTTTTAATGCGTATTGAACTTCCTGTTTTAAAATTTTTGGTCCCGATTCACCAGAGTCCTCATCTATGATTTGTTGTCTGTCATCCCCGAATAGTTCTTTTATGTATTCTGTCCATCTGTTTAGTTGTTGTTTTGTATCTGTGAGAATGTTACCATTCGAGTCTTTTATAACATGTATATTATTTTGTTTTCCCGACGTCATTTCCTTCACTTTCCGATGAATATTGAAACTATCATATTTCTTTTCATATTCTTCTATTTCGTGACACTGTTCAGTTAGCCATCTTTCTTTTGCTGTTATTATGTCTTTTCTAATCCTGCTGTTTAAGGATTTGTATTTGCTAGTGTTTATGTTTTTATATTTTCTTCTTTCATTCATGAGAGTTAGTATTTCGTCTGTCATCCACATATGTCTTTTCTTTGGTATTGGTCCACGTATTTCTTCTCCCGCTTCTTTTAAAGCTTGTTGAACCTCTCTCCAATTTTCATTTACGTCTTTAGAGTTGGTGTTTTTTGACTTGATGGGTTTAAGATTATCATTGATTTTCTGTCTAACTCTTTGTTCTATCTGAGTATCTTTTAATCTTGTCACATCGAATTCTTTTCTAATCTTTTTGTTTTTTAACTTTTTTAATTTTGCTTCCATTTCGACAATAATAGGGACGTGATCCGAGTATATATCGGCACCTGGATAAGTTTTTGCTGATTTTATTGAATTTTTAAACCTATTTCTGATCAAGACAAAGTCTATTTGGTTTCTGACGATGTGTGATTCTCGGTCTGCTGGTGATTTCCACGTGTATAGTCTACGTTTAGGTAGATCAAATAAGGTATTTACTATAACCAGATCTTCATTTTGGCAAAATTCTAAGAGTCTATCTCCACGTTCATTTCTAACGCCCAATCCAAACTCACCAATCCATGGTGCCACTGCTCCTTTACCAATTTTGGCGTTAAAATCCCCTAGGATGACCTATTATACCTAGACCTTAGACCTATTATAAGACCTGTTTTAAGCTGTTTTATATTTTGCGCTATATTAAACCTGCTCTAAGCTTTTATAGATCTGTTTTCAACTGCTTAACACCTGTTCTATATCATTCTGAGCTATTTGAAACATCTATTAAGCTCGTGTTGGTGTTCCAAAAGGTTTTTAACCTAATATAAAGTGTTTAAGATCAGTTTTAGGCTGTTCTACACTGTTTTGAACTATTTTAAACATGTTATAGATCTGTTTGAAGCTGCTTTAGGTATGTTATAAACTGTTTTATACCTGTTTTTAATAGTTTTATATATGATCCAACCTCTTTTAGATCGACTATAATCTGTTTTGATCTGTTTTAAGCTGTTATAGAGATATTATGATACATTAGACCTATTATAAGCTGTTTTATATTCAGTCTAAGCTATTCTACATCATTTGCGAGCTGTTTCCGAGCTGAAAGCTGTTTTAGGACAATAATAGACTGTTATATACTGTTCTGAGCTATTTTAGATACGTAAAAGCTATTACAGATATGTTTTAAGCTGCTTTAGATATGTTTTATACTTGTGCGAACTAGTTTTATAAATGTTCCAAGTTCTTTTAGATCTATTATCTGTTTTGATCTGTTTTAACTATTCTAAAGACATTATGGTATACTAGACCCATTATAAGATTATTTATAACCAGTCTAACTTGTTCTACATAATTTCTGAGCTGTATTCCAAGTTAAAAACTGTTTTAGCCCAGTTCTAGGCTGTTGTATTATATTCTGAGCTATTTTAATTATGTTAAAGCTATTACAGATCTATTTTAAGCAGTTTTAGATATGTTATAAACGGTTTATACATGTTCAAACCTGTTTTTTATGTTCCAAGCCCTTTTAGCTCGATTATAAGCTGTTTTGATCTGTTTTAAGCTGGTCTAGAGATGTTATATTAACTATTAGGTGTCTTATACCCAGTCTAAATTGTTCTTCATCATATTTTATATATGTTCCAAGCTCTTTTAGTTCAATTATAAGCTGTTTTAATCTGTTTTCAGTTGTTCTAGAGATGTTATGGTATACTAGACCTATTATAAGATTTTTTATACCCAGCTAACTGTTCTTCATCATTTCTGAGTTGTACCAAGGAAAACGCTGTTTTATATAAACGCTATAAGTTGTTTTATGACTGTGCGAACTGTTTTATATATGTCCCAAACCATTTTAGTTCAATTATAAGCTGTTTAAATCTGTTTTAAGCTATTCCAAAGATGTTATGGTATACTCGACCTATTATAAGATGATTTCTGGAAGTGAGCAGAATAGTTCTTAATTTGTTCATGGATTTGATCCCATAAGTACCTGTTGTATTTATTAGAATTCTTCCCAAACCCTTCTTTCACATGTGACGTATGCTTATGTTTGAAGTATGTCGAATATTATCACCTGGAATTTGGGACAAATTTAGCAGGTACTTTGGCAGTTAATTTTTATCCAATTTTTCCAGTGCCAGTTTAGTATTTGCTCATAATTTATAGCATTCATAAATCTGAAGTGTAGCTTGCATTCAGATCATCAAGTCTCTTCTAGAGCTATCTTCCTTGATCATATACATAATATAGAACGGTCTAGCATTTCGCCTAAGGCTAAAGGGCAACACGATTTCATTTCTTTGGTAATTCTTAAACAAGCGAGTTTTTACAATTTTTACAACTATATCTATTTTCAAAAGATTTTCTTCAATCTAATCAATATGTATTCTTTTTATTCATTGATTGTATGATGTCCGTTCCTCTATAAAGATTTATCACTGAAAAGAGTTAACGATACATAACTTATTGAGCTTGCTTTTCACCGTTTCTGTAGAAAATTTTTTTAAGGCAAATAATAAAATATGTATAAGTTATATACGTAATATTTGTAGGTACTGGCTATCCAGATATAGAAATCATGTTCATTCCATCAAACGCTACAAATGATCTATCCCAAAGAGCCTTTAGATTGACCAACCAGACCTACGAAGATGTTTGGAAGTACATCGACCGAACTCGATCTTTTGTACTCTACATAGTTTCTCTTCATTCAAATTCTATAGGTACGGTCCGACTAAGAAGCAAAAACCCCTTCGATTATCCACTCATCGACAACAGGTTTTTATCAGATCCCGGCAACAGAGACCTGCGACGAATCTACGAAGGTATACGCATTATGATGCAGTTGGCTAGAACTAAAGCGATGCGCAGTATTGATACAAAGTTACAAGGAGGACCTTTACGAGCTTGTAGCCAATACGTATACCAATCTAGAGACTACTGGTTTTGCGCCATTCGACAGATGACGATGAATCTTTACCATCCTGTAGGTACCACGCCTATGGGTCCAAATCCTCATCAGGGAGACGTAGTAGATTCCGAATGCAGAGTTCATGGTGTTCAAGGGTTGAGAGTTGTAGATGGAAGTGTCTTTCCCTTTACTTTAGCAGGTCATCCTATGGCTCCTATTGCTTTAGTGGCAGAAATGGCATCGGATTTTATTAAGAATCAATATTTATATTATACATAATAGTAAATATATTTACTTAAGTCTTAAGTAGTTTTTTTATAAGGATAATTTATGTAGAGTTCAAAAATATTTAGGTATTACTACTAATACACTTACGTTTTGCAGACGATACAGTAATAATTACGGATAACAACAATGATTTACAGAACCTAATGCAATGCCTTAATGAACGCTGTCATGAGTACGGACTGAAGATAAATTTAAAGAAAACTAAATGCATGATCATGACTAAATCTGCACATGCAAATGTCCAATTGACTATTGAAGATACTGCAATTGAGAATGTTAATAACTATAAATATTTAGGAACATGGATAGCATCAGATGTAGACCAAACCAAAGAAATTAAGACACGTATTGAAATAGCACGTACATCATTTATTAAACTTAAAAAAAAGTTTCTTTGTTGTCGGGATATAAGGTTACAACTACGCCTGAGAATGCTTCGATGTTACGTGTTCTCTACTCTTCTTTATGGTCTGGAAGCTTGGACACTCAAACAAGTTCATCTGAATAAGCTGGCCGCCTTTGAATTTTGGTGTTACAGAAGAATCCTACGAATATCATGGATTCAAAGAATGTCAAACATGGAAGTAACTAGAAGGATAGGAAATGAGGCGGAAATAATATTAACTATTAAAAGACGAAAACTTGAGTACTTGGGACATGTGATGAGAGGGCAAAAATACGCATTATTACAACTTATTACGCAGGGCAAAATCCGAGGAAAGCGATGTGGGAAGACGAAGAATATCCTGGCTTAAGAACTTAAGGAATGGTTTGAATGCAGTAGTGCAGAACTTTTTAGAGCGGCAGTCAACAGAGTCCGCACAGCCATGATGATTTCCAACCTTCGATAGAAGATGGAACTTAAAGAAGAAGAACTAATACACTGTTTTAGAAAATGTTTTCAACCAAATGTAAAATAGAAATTAATGGCATCAGTATTGAACAATTAATAGAAATAAAATACCTGGAAATTACACTGTCCAGCTATGGAGATCTGGACAAAATAGTGAGAGAACAAGTACAAAAAGCAAATAGACTGGCAGGATGCCTTAATAACACTATATGGCGAAACAGACACAGAAACAGTGAGATGAAGTCAAGAATTTATAAAGCCAGTGTAAGTACCGTCTAATGCAATTTATTGTCCAGGGGAAAATAGACAATAGGCGAGGTCCAGGTAGGAGAAGACACTCGTGGCTCCAAAATCTGCGGAAGTGGTTCGGGCTCACATCGGTCGAACAATATCAGAATTGCCAACGTTCGCAACGGACAGAGCACTTAAAGAAGAAGATGTTGAGAGATCGAAAGAGAAGTGAAGACATTAGAAGAAAATGTAACGTACAGTGTATAAATGAATGTACACAAAATAGAAAAAAAATGGAATAACCACACAAGCAGAATGAAGAAGACCCGTGTAGTCAAAATAGCAAGGGATAAGTCAAGAATCGGCAGAAGAAGTATCAGAGGATCGCGCAAAAGATGGAGTGACAACCGTCCATAGAGATGTTAATCAGCCAATGAACAAGCAATATTGCTTATAAAGAGGAAGAAGAAGAAGAAAAGGTAATCGGATGGGCTGCTTGACTCATAATTAGATACTTGCAAAGTAGGGAAAGCCATACACCATAGACCAGAAATGGCAAAATATAACAGACGCCAAAGAAAGTGCCGCAGCGGAAACTATAGGAAAAGAAAAAAATAACAAGAAGAACAGGAGTGCGAACAAAGCTTGAATCAAAAAGCAATCAGGAGGCTAGAGTTACTAACACGTCCTAAAGATGAGAACAGGAAAGACTAGAACAGAGTAAGAACTCAAACGAGAAGACTTTTGAGAAGAAAAAAGAAACAGTACCTAGAAGTGAATAGAGCAACTGGAGGAGGAACATAGAACCGGTCAGTCTAGACAGTTTTATAAAGACCTAAAAACAATGAAGAGCAACACGACCAACAGTGGAAGATTTATAAAGATTAGCCGCCAATAAGGAAAGTATTTTGAGTAACTTTTAAATACAGAAAAACCCACAACGACCGGGCAACAAAAACAGTACCACTACTACCCACACTAGCTGAAGTAAAGTCCGCAATTTGCAAAAAAGAGTGGAGCAAAAGCTCCACTTTGAGATATTTCATTTATAAGAGAAGTCTGGGAAAGAGAAGAAATACCGAAACACTGGTATGAAAGCCATATAGTAGCTATCCACAAGAATGGAGACAAACAAATATGTCGGAACTATAGAGGAATATCGTTAACCAATACAAGCGACTGCCAAAGCGGATTCAGACCGGGAAGGTCGACCATAGACCAGATATTTATCCTACACAGGTGCTGCAAATCTTCGTGGACTTACGATTCTGTTAGCAGAGAAGCACTGTGGGAGACCATGGTAGAAATGGGAGTACCTGGAAAGCTGGTACGATTAGCACAGGTGAGCACAGAGAACCCTTTCGCATGGATCAGAATGGGCAGCACCACATCGGAGGAATTCCTCATTGACACCGGCTTAGACAAGAAGATTTTCTCGCCCCCCTGATATTTAATTTTGCACTGGAATATGCGGTAAGGAAAGCTCAACCACAACTGACTGACAAAAGACGGATTTGCTGCCCAAGGATCAAAAATACTATTGGCGTTTGCGGATGACGTGGACACAATTGCATAATCCACCAGAGATGCAACAGAAGTTTTCACCCTATTCGAAAACAGAGCCAAAGAAGTTGGTCTGAAGATCAACGAGGACAAGACCAAGTACATGGTGGTTACGGAGAATCCAAGGCCAAGGGTTAGACAAAACATAACAATCAATGAATACAACTTTGAAGTCATCAAAGAATTCAAGTACCTGGGAGCGATCATAACATCTGAAAATAAATATGAAAAGGACATGGTAGCCAGGATCATAAAAAATACTCTCAATACCAGCAACAATCAATCAATCAATATTCTTTATTTCATCTGACTTTTACAAGTATTGAAAAATACAATCTAAAAAACTATAGGTACATAGGTAGTAAAAAAAGTAAAAACTATAAGCACAATCATATAACATAAAATATACACAAAAACATACAAATTTTTAAAAAGATGCCTGCAAGTATTCCTCTAACGAATAGAAAGTGTTTGCCAGAAGTAAATTCTTAACTATTCTCTTAAATACATAAATATTTAACTCTTTAACATAATTAGGTAATTTATTACACAAACTAATGCATTTTGGGTAAGGACCCTTGCCCACAACAGTCAAGTGACGAGCAGGGGTCACCAAATCATTTCTGTAACGAAAATTGTAGCTACTCATTAACGAAACATCATTTCTGCAAATAAAATTACATCTATGTGACTTTACATATACAACACAACTGAAAATATACAGCGAAATTACAGTTAAAATATTTAATTGTTTAAAAATTGGTCTACAGGAATCCAAGCGCCTTCTAAACGTCATGGTACGAATATTTTTTTTTTTAAGAACAAGCACCTCATTAATACGCGAGCGATTTCCCCAACAAACTAAGCAATATTGCAAAATTGACTGTACATGAGCAAAATAGTAAAGTTTCAAGATTTCTAGGGAGACAAAATTCCTAAGTTGCCATAGAACATAACAGTGTACAGACAATCTTCCCACTACATAATCAACGTGAGAACTCCAAGACAAATTAGAATCCAGATAAACACCTAACAACTTGGTGGAGTGGCTATTTACCACAGACCCATTGTCAAGCCTTACTAATGGACTCATCTTCATAGTAGAAGGTGAAAAGGTTACCATATTGGTCTTTGATCCATTTAAGATTAGGGCATTATTTAAGCAGTAAAGACTCATACTTTTTACAAGACAGTTTGTTTTTTGAACTACATGAGAAAAAATTATTGGAATTTAGTGCAACTGTGGTATCGTCAGCAAATTGAGTGACGTAACAGCCTGATTGCTGTTCCAAGTTTTCTCCTCGAACGCTTATTGCATCAGAAAAATTATCTAATGGATTCCGAACCAAACATGTTGAGCTGTCATTTATCAGTTGATTTAAATCGTTGACGAAAATCAAAAATAAAAGAGGGCCACTGATACTTCCCTGTGGAACTCCGGAGAGGACACTTTCTTCTGAAGAAAATATTATATTTCCATTCACATTAACAATAAGAGTGTATAATACAATAATTCGTCCCACAATAATGTATGGAAGTGAGAACCTGAACCAGCGGGAAATGACAAAATTACATCGGAAACGCCCGATGGCAGAAGGTCAGTTGGTCGCCCAAGAAAGAGATGGAAGGACGCAGTAGCCAGTAATCTACGCAAAATGGGAATACAACAATGGGAAATAGCTGCCCAGGACCGACAACAATGGAGGCAAATAGTAAACTCGGCCAAGACTCAGAGAGTTGTAGAGCCAAATGATTGGATGGAATTAGAGTGTCCGTAAGAACTCTAAGAATCGAGTAAAATAAATAACACAATTTATTGAAACTTAACATAAATATAAAAATAAATGAAAACTTATGAAAATTAATATTGAAAAAATTAGCCTGTTATTTTTCTAACCAAAAAAAGAGCATCAACGGATGATTGGATCGTTTGATGATTTGGATGTTGTTTGTAAACTTGGTACAACCCAGGTACTTGTTTAAATATTGAGATTATTATGTGTTTATAATGTGGAATTTGTTCCTAACAGCCAATACATTTTTTATATCGGATATCATAACAAAACTAGTGGACATAAAACTGGTTCAAACAGTAATCTAGATGAGTGAGAAACATTTTACGATAACACAAATAGCATAATGAATCTATAAGAAAAATAGCTATAACTAAGTCTTTTTATATGGTATAAGGATATAATATAAAATATATTTTAAGGGGTCAAAATCTAATGGATAAAAAAATATATTTTTATTTTTTATATTAGTTTAAAAAAACTGATGCAATTTGTGCTGTAACAGCATCGTAAACTTGAGGTGTAGATCAGTTAATCAACCTTCAATATAGAAAGTACTAATAATTCCATTCTTTGATTTGGTTCGGTTTTAATGCCGATTCAAGAGCAAAACAATACAGTACCGATGCAGATGCAAATTCAGTCTAATAGTATCAAGTGCGTGGTACTTTAAATTTGAAAGGTAAGGATTTAATAGTGTTTCTTTATATTGGGAATAATATGGTTAAATAGATTGTTTGTTTTTTATAAGGTGAATGTTAAGTCACAACAATAATATTGTAGGTTTTTAATGCTAAGATTTAATGTACTGTTATGAAAATAAATATTGTAATGATGTAATGAGATTGACGTGTATACTGTATTATTTGACGATATGATTTGACGAATAATTATCAAAAAAAAAAATTAATTTATACTAGTAGCCTAAATGTATAGCTAAATTGGTTTTGTTTTTTTTTTAACAATTATAAAAAGTGAAAAAATTCATTTTGACCTATAAATCGTTTCCTGTACATTTTAGAAAAAAAAATGAGTTAAATAAAAGATGTGGATCTTAAAAAGTTCTTTTTTTGCAAGTTTCCAAATTAAAATACTTAAAACATTGAACGAGATAATTGCAAAAAACCCTTATTTTTGCAGTAATTTATAAATGTTAATAACTTTGTTTTTTGCATAATGACATTTAATGTAACTTCTTAAAAGCATGGCAATTAATAACTTACTGAAAGTCTCAACTAGATCGATGACTTTAAAAAACAGCTTTAGCAGATAGATCATTAGGCTTATGGTCCTATAGTCTTTCCTGCTCAGGAAATCGGAGCAGGAATTTCCCTTCACCTTTCTATGGACATTGAAGTTATCATATCGACTCTGATACCCCTCTATTTCTTGAGGTTGTTCTGTTTTTTTGTTTCTGTGTATCATTCTTTAGGTGTTGTTCGTGTATTTCTCTCACTGTTTATTGTATGATGGTCAGACTTTTCTCTATATTTCCTGCATTTCTTTATTTAAACACCTTTGTATTGAGGTTTTCACTCACCTTCAGTCGAACATTGGGATCTTTCAGTTTTCTAACATCATACTTCTTCATCAACTTCCTTGTAACCTTTTTATTCTGACTTTGAAATTACCTACAACTGGTACATGATCAGAATTTATGTGTGCCCCGAGTATGTTTTGACATATGTACAGCTGTTTTATACCTCTTATTTACTAGCATGTAATCAATCTGATTTCTTACAATCCTTCCCACAGAATCCTGTAGAGATTTTCAGGTGTACAATTTCCTTGGGTGTAGCTTAAATCAGGTGTACATTATTACTAATTGATTTTTTTCTGCAAAATCTCGAATGTATCTTTCCGATCCTTCCGGTTGCCTAGTCCAAATAGTCCAACTGCAAATGATGTTTTGCTGGCCTCAAATTTGGCGTGGAAGTCGCCCATGACAATTGTTAGGTCTTGCTTTTTCAACCTTTTCACGACTTGATTAATGCCATGGTATAGTTCTTCTACCTCTTCTTCTGTTCCTTCTGTTGTAGGTGCATATACTTGAATTATATTGATGTCGATTGGTCAGCTTTCAGTTGTATGAGCATCATGCTTACTGAGATTGGGATGAAGTTGTCAACAGATTTTGCCACTTCTTTTGTCAATATAATGCCGACACCTAATTCATGTTTGTGATCGATATTTGTGATTCCTGAACCTGGCCAACGCATTTTGTTTATTCCCAGAATATATAATTTCATGTTTGCCATTTCTTGTATTACATTATGAATTTTACCTTCCCGTGCCATGGTTTTCACGTTCCATGTGCCTATTATGATGTCTTCTTTGCATTTTAATCTTTTTGTTATACTTGTAACTGCTGTAATTTCACTGCAAGCATAGCCATTTGATTCTACTAGGACTTACCCAATCCGGATCTTTAATGGGCTGTCTTGTCCCATCTTTCTTCCTCTTCTCTACGCCGTTGACCGCTTCCACAGTTCTTTCGTCTTTAGCCAGTTTCCCAACTCCAGGACAAAGGGGTGCCCTACCGTTTACTAGCTCTTCCACCCGAAACTGTTGGTCAGTAAACGGGGGATTGCTTATAACCGTAGGCTTCAATAACGCTAAAACACTTTCCAAAAAAAGCATCAAGAAACTTACCCTAAAACATTACTTTAGTGTGCAAGTACTAAACACATTTTCAATAACATTATCCTCAGAACACTATTGATATTACAGAGTTCTGAACTTTTAAAACCCTTACAAAAAGTATTTTCAAATTGAGTGGGTTTTATTTGGGTTAATCAGATTTCTGCTTCAAATGATCTAGTAATGCCTTACGATTTTACTTCAATTGTGTTGGTAGCACTGATATTATAAGTTTCCAAAAATTAATTTAATTTTTACGATTTTTCTCTCAGGATAGATACTAATCGATTAATTATTTTAATTTTTTTCTCTCCTTTCCATATACTTCTTGTGTGTTTTATTTGTTTCTTCTATGACCCGTTTAAATTCTTTATTGTACATAGATTTGTTCTTATCTGTCTCTTTGTGCATAAATGTTGCCTGATACAATCTTTCGCCTAATATTTTATATCGTTATTTTTATTCTGCATGTTTTATCTGCCGTCCATCGTGCTTTCTTAAAAGGTGTTCTTCTTTCTCTAGTTCTCTTTTCCATGTACTTCTTGTGTGCTTTATTTCTTTCTTCTATAATTCCCCTTTAAATTCTTAATTGTACAGAGAGTTATTATCTCTGCCTTTCTTTCTCTCTTCACCCTTAAGTAATCCAACTTTGGACATAGGCCTCCCCCAAATCAATCCAGTGTTTTCTATTTTCCGCCACTTGCTTCCAGTTGTGTTCTCCTATCTTCTTAATGTCATCAGGCCATCAGGATTTCGTTTTTTTCTCTTATTTCTTTTCCATCTTAAGCATTTCAGGCCCGGTTCTTTTCTATTATTTTTTCTACCTTGTTTTCATTGTAGATCCTTAGATCTTCCCCTACCCCCTTCTTTATTTGTTTATTCAATTGTGTACATGTCGGAATATTCTTGTTGATAATGTTTTACAAATTTTTTTCTTAAGAGTTTTCTGTACTCATCTCCCTTATGTTGCATTTTAGTTGGATCTATTTCATTACAATAATTATGTGGCCTGTTTCTACTGATTTTCGTCTGTTCAACAAGAATCCTTGCTCTTAAAAGGCGATGATCGCTGCCAGTTATGAATCGATTGAGAGCAATTATATCTTCAAAAATGTCTTTGTTCCCACACAAGAAGTAATCGATCTCGTTTTTCGTCTTTTTATTGGGAGATATCCAAGTCCATTTTCGGCTTGCTGGTTTCTTGAAGTGTCTGTTTATGGCATATAAAGTTTGTTGCTCTAAGAAGTTATTATAATTTTTCTCGTCTTTCGTTTCGTGTGCCATAACCATACATCCCTATTTTAGTTACAGTATTTTTCTTTCTTTACCCAATTTTGCGTTGAAATCTTCCATAATGATGGTATACCTTGTATCATTTTCTCTGCCTATTTATGCATTGATATTGCCTAATATAATCTTTAGTCTAATATTTTATATCTTTACTTTTATTTGTTGTTAACACATGTTACTAAGTTGTTCTTCTTTCTATAGTTCTACGTTCCATATTATATTTCTTGTGTGCTTCATTAATTTGCCTTGTACTTAATTATACACTTATAAATTATACATACAAGTTGCTCTCATTGGAATAATATTTGTAATGACTCCTCGCTGCCCCAAATCAATTTATATTAATCACTTGTGAACAATGCTTTATGATAAATATCACAATATGTTGCTATCTGTAAACAATTTCCTTAAACAAACATAAAATATTGATGACGACAATCTCTCGACTATTAAAACATTTCTCAGATATTTATCAGATTACAGATAACATTGATTACATCAAACAATATACTTTTACTATGATTGTACAATCTGTAAAATTCCATAATCTAATATCATATAAAAATGAAAAAGGAACTCGATTAACAAATTTTACTAGTGAGGAAAGTGATAAAAAGAGGATTTACAAAGCAAATCAGATCACTCAACCTTTACCTTCAATTTGCTAGTTTTTCTCTGATGCAATTGAATGATGCAATTTTAGTGTACTGGCTAATAAAGAAACTCAAATCTAGAAATTCATCAACAAATTGATCATTTAATCCATGCATATGAAAATTTTACAAATTTTAGCAAGGAAGTAAATATTTGATTTGTATAATTAGAGCAGAATTTTTGAAAACTAGTCTTTCTATGAAACATGTAATGTATTTATTTCACTCCTCAGTGGCAGAGAATATGTCTTAAGTTGTCGTAAGTTCTTTAAAAAATCATCGCGAAGCTCAATAAATTCCAGAAACAATAACATTTAAAATAACTCAAACGCATCAACATGTAGGAAGATAATTGATGGATTCGACCGTTACTTGACCGTTACAAAAACACTGAAAACTTTGTTTTCAAACTTCCACAAAATTTATTTTAAACATAATAATGAGAGAACTTTAGAATATTTAGGTGTAGAATGTGAAGTAGCGTTAAACAAAACTGCTAACAATATCGAAAAAAGTATAATTGCCAAATCTATTACAGATGTGTGTAGTGAAACTAAGAATTCATGTTACACAGAGAATAAAATAGCAATTTCCATTAAAAATAAATCAATAGAAAACAACATTGTGTTTACAAAAGCAGACAAAGGTAACACTACTATTGCTATAGATAAAATAGAATATAATAACAAAACAATAGAATTCTTAAATAATCAAAATATTGAAACTTTACACAAAGATCCGACAGAAAAATATCAAAAACAAATTAAGCTAGCGTTAGAAAATTCAAAAGCAATACTAAATCCAATAGAACAGAAATACCTCAATATCATGAACCCACAGCCTCCTAAATTATACTCTTTCATTAAACTACACAAACCGGATCACCCAATAAGACCTGTAGTTTCTTTTTATACAGCTCCGTCATATAAACTTTCAAAAAGCTGTTAGAGATTATTTTAGAACACACTAAATTTTCACCTAAATTTACCATAAAAAATACAATAGAACTAGTTAATAAAATACAACATTTTCAATTACCTAACAACTCCAGATTAATTTCATTTGACGTAAAAAATCTTTTTCCTATTATCCCTCCTAC